ACAAATCCAGATCCTGGTACCACAATAGCCCCAGTTCCTTCTGCAGATCCAGATCCAGGTACAACAGATATTACAAATGAGAGACATCCCACCATGGAGCATTCACCTTCATTAGATGATCTTGACCTTCCCATAGCAGTTTGTAAGGGCAAGCGTCATTGCACCACATCCACAACTCACAGCATTTCTTAGTTCTTGTCCTATGATCATTTGTCTCCCTCCTATAAGTCTTTTCTCGCATCCATTACTAATATTCCCATTCCCAGAACAATACAGGAAGCATTGGAAGTACCAGAATGGAAAGATGCAATAAAAGTAGAAATGGATGCCCTCATCAAAAACAATACATGGGAGATAGTTGATCAGCCTAAGAAATCGGTTGGATGTAGATGGGTATTCACTGTGAAACATAATGTTGATGGTTCTGTTGAAAGGTATAAGGCCCGATTAGTTGCAAAAGGATTTACTTAGACATATGCTATTGACTACTTAGAAACTTTTGCACCAGTAGCAAAGATGACCACTATCAGAGTCCTATTATCTCTTGCAGCTAATTACTCTTGGTCGTTGTATCAGATGGATGTTAAAAACGCCTTTCTCAATGTAGACTTGTAGGAAGAAGTTTACATGCAGTTGCCTCCTGGATTTTATGGTACGAAGACAAGAAAAAAGGTTTGCCGGTTGAACAAAGCTTTATATGGACTAAAACAGTCTCCTAGAGCTTGGTTTGACAGATTCAGACGAGCCCTTGATAGGTTCGGATATGTGCAAGCCTAGTAAGACCACACCTTGTTTATTAAGAGAGTGGATTCTTCCATAACTTTGCTTGTTGTGTATGTGGACGATATTGTAGTAACAAGGAGTGATACTAATGAAATTGAGTCTCTTAAGCAACTTCTTCATCAAGAGTTTGAGGTGAAAGATCTGGGGGAACTACAATACTTCTTGGGCATTAAGATAGCTAGATCCAAGCATGGGATTTTTGTCTCTCAACGAAAGTATGTCCTTTATCTGCTAGAAAAAGCAAGAAAATTGGGAGTTAAGCCTGCAGACACACCTATTGAACAGAACCACAGGATTAGTGCAGAGGGTGGAGAGCCTCTTGAAGATAAAGCTATGTTCCAACGGTTAGTTGGAAAACTTCTCTATCTTTGCCTTACACGACCTGACATCAGTTATGTAGTCAGTATATGCACTCTCCTAGAACTACTCACCTCCTTGCGGTTGAGAGGATATTAGCATATTTGAAGAGGTCCCCAGGCAAGGCATTTTGTTCAAGAAAAATGACCACATAAAGATATAAGTTTACACAGATGTTGATTGGGCTGGGTGTGTTGATGATCGAAGATCTACCTCTGGATATTGTGCCTTTGTAGGAGATAATCCGGTCTCCTGGAAGAGTAAGAAACAAAGTGTTGTCTCTCGTTCCAGTGTTGAAGCTGAATATAGGTCCATGGAAAATGGTGTGGCTGAGATTCTATGGTTAAGATCATTACTTGAGGAATTGGGTATTGTTTATGAAAAACCCCTAATGTTGTATTGCGATAATCAGGTTGCCATTAATATAGACCATAATCCAGTACAGCATGACAGAACTAAGCATATTGAAGTGAACCGGCATTTTATTAGAGAAAATGTTACATCTCAAAAAGTATGCCTCCCCTACATCACCTCCGACATGCAGCTTGCAAACCTTCTCACCAAGGCTGTTTCGAGAAAGAAGTTAGAAGAAGACCTATGCAAGTTGGGAATGACAAACATCTACTCCCAACTTGACGGGGAGTGTAGGAAACTGTGAACCCCACATTAGTGTACTCGTGTGACAGCTTGAGTTGTACTTAGATTTAATTAAGTCAATGATTAGGATCAGCTTTCCTAGTAGGATTAGTTTTAATCTTATTCTATCTTATCTAGGATTAGTTTTTAATTATCTTATCTTGCCATGTAAGCATTAATTTCTTTTACAATTAGGAAACTATGTATATAAATTCAAAGGGTGGGGAGCTGTTTTATCACACCAACCACTCTCTTCTCTCAAAAGTCCTTCCACGAGTTCTCCCTCTCTATCTCTCTTCTTCTCTTCTCCTCTTCTCTTCCTTTCTTTTATTTTCTGTTCAAAATCTAAAGAATATACGTAGTCCTGTACGACTACCCAAACAAATCACTTCCAAGTTTCCTCCTAAAGCTACCTCATCTACTAGAAAATTTATGTACGTTCTTTACATTGCAAGCATAAAAGTTATGGCAGGATGTGCTGAGACAGGGAGTAATCTTTGTTTCTCAGAGAAAGAAGTGATACCTTGATTATATGACGACTTTGTTTATGGCAACTCCAGGCCCTCCATGCTAGCATATCACTAATTGGAATAACATCCAAAAGAGCTCCTCTGCCACTATTTCTCTTTTATTTTAGGTTTTATTTCTATTTTATATACCCTCCTCACTAGCCATATTCCATGGTGGATAAAGTAATTAATGTGCAATAACAATATAAAGACACATGCAATACTAACTTTCAGAGTTGGAGATACAAATAAAATACTTATCAAAAAAAGATACAAATAAACAAAATTAAAATCAGGGTCAACTAGGTGGACTAGTTGTTAGTCAACCTGGTTGTTTGAGAGTGGCCACTTTGTAAAAATAAAAATTTAAAAAAAAAACAAAGGTTATCTCCATATCCAGTCCACCCATCCCAAGACCTTTTTTTTTACACCTTTTAGTCAACCTAGTTGATGGTTAGTCATGTCAGCCAACTAGATATGATAGGTATCAATCTACTAGTCAATGATGAAGCTGTTACGGCCTTCAACTCAAATAGTTGTTGACTGCCTGACACTTCAATAGCACTTATTTGACTGAGCTTTCAAACTAGGCTTGGAGAACCAATGTTCTTGTTTTACAATTAATGGGTAATTAGTTGTTGTTCCTACACTTCTACAAAGCTAGCAAAGTTGTGGTACTACAACAAACATGACTTTAACAGAACCTTTAGTCTTGTTGTAAAACCTACAAAGCGATAACTATTTGTCCTTGCTTTACAAACAACTAGTGCAGGTTCCAGCTATCTGAGGTGTTGGAAGGGGGGATTGGATGCAACCTAATATTTGGCAAATTAGCACAAAGTGATAACTCTCAGACTTGAAATTTCATATTCATGATTATCACTATAGAATTTTAGTACTGCACCATTGTAACTGCCCCTCTTGTAGTAAACAACTGAACATATAAAATGCATAAAGAAATCTTCAGGAGGAAATTCATATGTGCTAGCCTCCAAGATTCATCAATCCACTGTGTTCATGTCACACATGTAATCTTCACAATGCTATTATGGGCCTTATGGCCTTAAAGGAACTCCTTGTGTATTTTCATAGTTTTAGCTCCTTTTCACTTGAGCTTTGGTTTATCTACAATCAAACTGATTTTTCAATGATTGTTTTTCATGGAGCTTATGGAATCATGGATTTCAGCTCCTTACCACTTGAGATTTGGTTTATCTACAATCTAGTTGATTCTTAAATAATTGTTTTTCATGCAACCTGTGGGGTCATGTATCTTCTCCTGTAATGCAAAAGCATTACCCTCAATAGAAATATTGTTGACAATATTCAGCAGCTTATTGTCTCATTCCTTGTTTACACTCTGCTTTCATATGAATGACTTCTTCATCAATATGGAGATTTCTGCCTGTTGTAATTCCTTAATTCCTAATGCAAATGAAATATCCTTTGAATCCCCTTAGCAATCTAATATGCTTAATGTCAAGTTCCTCTCAAAATCCTCTGATTGTTGGTTCTAAAAGCTATTTGTGATGGCAAACCACTCTTTGATGTTACCACTTGCCAATAGCATCTTAAAGCTCTTCAATACCTTCAGCCAATATTCCTTGCTTTGTGAATCCAGTCTGCTAGTTTCTTCATGCCACAACATCTGTTTATTTAGCAGCAGTTAGAGGTAACTTAGGATTTGACTTTGTCTTTCATGCATCTTTATTTCTTTAATTATTGGCATGTTACAATGCACAATGAGCTGGGTTTTCAGATTATAGACACTCCACGTCAAATGGTGCCATTAGGGCTCTAACTTAATGTCACAATAGTGTGACAAGAAGGAACCAACAGTCTCATGTCCTAACCTTGAGGCTGAGTATCAATTTCTTGCAGTTATCACTGCTGAATTAGTGTAAGTGCAATATTTAACTTATCATTTATATTTGCTTGTTATTTCACTCTCCAATACTTACCTGTAACAGCATCAATTTTATATACTTGGCACTTTGGCAGTCAATCCTAAAAATATTAATGACTCTATAAATAGGACCACTAGCTATTTGTGTAATCTTAAATCTCTAATAGGCACTTTGGCAGTCAATCCTGAATTAGTGTAAGTGCAATATTTAACTTTTCATTTATATTTACTTGTTATTTCACTCTCCAATACTTATCTGTAACAGCATCAATTTTATATACTTGGCACTTTGGCAGTCAATCCTAAAAATATTAATGACTCTATAAATAGGACCACTAGTTATTTGTGTAATCTTAAATCTCTAAAGGCCTTTAGGTCGTCAATCATCTGTTCTGACCACAAAAGAAAATTTTCACATTCTATTTCCTAGTTCTCAAAGGTACCTGGCAGATGACTGGCACTTGGGCACCTAGGAGGCCCAATTTCAACCAAAGCTTATATGATATGTAATACCTCAGTAAACACTACGAACAACTTCATATAATAAAGAAGTGGCAGCGGACCAATGGTATTGGTAATGGTAGCAGCAATAGTATGATGATAACTGAAGGTTGCAAAGAATAAACCACTAGATAACCTTGCTAACACGACTGACCCAGTAATCAGATCATCTAGTTTAGTCTTGACAGACAAACAGCAGATGCAAAATACATAAATAATGAAACCCAAAACCTCTAACAAATAAATGCAGAACTTAAAAAATAACAAAATTTTGAGCCAAAACAAGCAGAAAAGCCAGCACGCTTTACCTCTGCTTGCATCCCAGCATGGCGCCGAACTCCAATTGCATCATACATGACAATGAGACTAAAACCCAAACACACAGGAAACAGAGAGTCCGCCACTCCATGACACAGTGCCACGGAAGTCGTTAGAGCCGTGCACAGGGCCGAGTGCGACGAGGGCATCCCTCCAGAAGCGAACAGGATCCTGAAGTCCCATTTCCTCTCCATGAAGAAATTCAGGAATATCTTAATCAACTGAGCTATCACCCAAGCTATCAATCCAGACACGAAAGTCGGATTTGCAGCGAGTGTTGCCACCACCGGACTGATTCGAACCTTCGCCGTGGACGTCACGCTCAGAAGAGACACCCCAATTCCTCCACTCAAGTCATCTGATACTCCTTCCCACAGGTCGCATCCTCTCAAAGAAGAAACCCATTTCTCCGCCAAATCTTTCAACAGAACATTACCCGTTCTGATTCCTGAAGCCACGACCACGAAGTCTTTAATGCTCTGTATAAGTGGCATTAGAGCATAAAATAAATCGGTGGGTATACGGTGATTGCATCTGTTCCTCGGGAAGTTCAAGTACGAAGGAGGTCGATATGAAACAGGAATTGCAGCAAAGTTTCTGCGTTTCGTAAAACAGTTAAATTTGAAAAATGAGAAGCAATTGTTCTTGCTGTTAAGAAATCCAAACTCAGGGTTCGGTTTCTTATAAATGGAAGCCCTAAATAAGGGACTTATTGCCATGGAGTCCATTAGAGAATCTTCTCTTCTCTGCTATCAGCATATCAGATTCATAGGGAGACAGTCAGACAGAGCGACGAGAAATAAAGGTAACTTCAACTTGTCCCGTCACGTGGAATAGAGGCAGTTGGACGTTTTTCCATCGGGACATTATTACCTGAAAACCCATGCTATACCCTATAATCAATTGCGTACCTTTAATTTGGCTTTGTGTCATAATGTTGCTTATCAACTTGTTCCGGATATGATTTAAGGCTGTGTTTGTTTTGAAAGAAAAGATATGATGCTTAAAAATACAACGTTTCCCTACCCTTTCTTTCAAACAAAATATAGCCTTAGGTGGCGTTTTATAAATCTGAAATCTGAAAAGTTAAAAAGATATTAAAAATGTTTCAACTTTTTAGAGACTGTGAAGAGAATATTGTTTGTGTTGGATCGAACCTTTAGCATCTGAAATTCCTTAATTTTACTATTTTACCCCTAGAACAAACTATATGGTAATTTTGAATTCAATCTTGTATTATTTCATAAAATATAATTTATTAAATTTAAAATAATATGAATAAATTATTATAAATTATAAACAAATTAAAAAATTAAAATAAGAATAAAATTGAAAATACATATAATTTTATAAATTAAAAATGAATTATTAAAAGTTAAAATAATAATGAAAATAGTAATAAAGTCCATAAAGCAATGAAAAAAAAATATTTAATAATTATCAAATTATTATTAAATTAAAACTATTAAAATATTTAATAATTAATAAAAATACAAATAGTTAATAATTAATAAAAATAAAAATTATAAAATTGAACGCCACTGTTGAGATAGGGCCACCACTAAGAGAGAGAGAGAGAGAGAGAGAAGGGCAGAGGGAGAAGCTTGTGCCATTGGTTCGTTGTCAGTGGAGAAGAAGAAGAAGAAGAAGAGAGAGAGGGGGGGAGAGAGAAGGGCAGAGGGAGAACCTTATGCCATTGGTTTGTTGTTAGTGGAGAAGAAGAAGAAGAAGAAAAAGAAAAAGATGATGATGATGATGATGATGAGGGGCATAACGAGAATGGGCATTTTTGTCTTTTAATACGGTTTAAAAGACGTCTGAGAGCATTAAGTCACTGACCCACCTCTTACAAATTTAGATATGAAAATGCATTTCAAATCCTTTTTTTAGACTCAACCCAAACATAGGTAGTGTCTGAAAAGCAACATTTTCAAACTTTAGAGGTCTGAAAAGTGTTATCAAATGCCACCTTAATCATTCAATGATGAACCTCACCTGTGTATAAGTCAGGATCTTAAGAAACACACTATTAGCTACATTCACCAGCCCCACGTTGGGAATTTTGGTGATATAAACTACAAGAGATGTTCATAATGTGTAGTTGGGCAAATGTGGTCATCAATGTGTTGTGGTCAATAGATCCAAACTCCCAATGTATTTGATACCGTGGTGAGTTGAAGTGTCAATTTATGTCCTTGAAATTGGAAAAGTAGTGTTTTTAAGTGTTGGTGTTTATGTTTGGATTTTTGCATTAGATTTGGATAAGTTAAGATGTTGGCATACTAGTAAGTGTGCATGTGTTTTGCATGTGGCAATTTTTTTATGATGATGATGATAGTAATATATTTTTTAAAGTTTGTTATAATTTTATTGTATTTTTATGTTTATAAAAATTATTCTTATTTGTCATACTTATTTTTGTTTAACATAATGAATATATGATATTAGAGATGTGCCCAATTATTTTCCATATTTTTTGTATGTTTTGTACTTTTGTGTGTTTTTCTTTTTTTAATAATTATTATAATTATTTATTATTATTATTTAATTATGATGTATGGTTGATACATTTGATCTAAATGGTTAAATTGTTTGAGTTGCCACCAAATAGGAAAATAACTCCTTTTTTGGGTTGGTTTTGAAATTGTATTTTATTTCTATTCTATAAAAACATTTATTCGTTGTCACAAATACCATTGACACCAAGGTTGGGGATTTAAGGGGATAGTGGATGAAAAGGAAGAAAACAATCATTCATTGTCTCACTTATTTTTCTTTTATATGGTTGATTAATATAAATTTCAATAAAGATCGGAAGTTAATAATAGGATTCCATGACTATTAACGGGAATTGATACCTTAAGTATAATATTTAACGAGAGGGATTTAATGAGAAGAAAAGTAGTTATTCAATTTATATTTATGTTCTTACAATTAGAGAATGATCAAATTCAAAAAATTGGTACATTTTAATCAAACAAAAGTTCGACATTATACTTACATTTTTAATAATGGTATAAATATAGATAATATCTCTAATTTATCCTATAAGTTATCTTATTAAATACATGTGGACTGTTAGATCTCATTCCAAAGTGAAAATATTCCTCCATTGGGAGAAAAACTTTTTAAAGGTTTTTCCAATACCTCTATGCAATGAATCTGCATCTTACACCTTACCGTACTACCTATGAGTATGACCCATGAATAGGGATGGATTCAAGCCAAGCCGAGCCGAATAATACCAGGCTCGAGCTCGGCTTGAGACTATTCTATAAGGCTCAAGCTCGAGCTCGACTCGAGTCAAGAGTTCATAAGCTCGAGCTTGGTTTGTTTTATATTTTATAAAAATATTTAGAAAAAATATTAAATAAAAATTATATATAATTTTTTTATTTTATATTTAAAAAGTTAAGAATTATAATAATTAATGATTATACTATATATATATATATATATATATATATATTCGAGCTGGCTTGCGAGTCGAGCTCGAGCAACTCGGCTCGTTGCCGCTCCTACCCATGAACATCACAAGGGTCAACAACTTGCTTGTGCAACCAACTTAATTGATTTGCAAAAGACCACTTTTTCTTTGTTTTTCACGTTTTAAATTTCTAAAGGTCGAGAGAAATCACATGGGTTTGATTTCTCCTTTTTTTCTTCTAGTACCCAATCATTCGATATTGATCTTTCAAATGAAGAAGGTAAAAGGCATGGTTTTTGAGTTGCGGTTGACCCAGATTGTTGAACCGTCCAAGCAACTAGTTCCGTTTTAACTCAAACCTGGTGTTTGGCCAAAATTCGTTGAATCAGTCAACAATCTATTGACCCAGGTGATCGAATCATCAACCCATCAACCCATTCAACGATTTTGACCATTTTTATTTTTAATTTTTTTTAATTTTTTTTTGTTAGAGCAAACCATCCGTTCGAACCATACGGTCGAACCATCAACCCGGAAACCAGTGACTAGAACAGTTCAATTTCCGGGTCGTTTTTTAAAACCATGGTAAAAGACACATCTTTAATCGCATTTGGTTTGGGAAGTTGGAAGGAGGATTATATCTTCTCAATGGATGAGTTGGAATTAAATTTGAAAGAAAAGGTAGGGAACGTCTCTACCTTCTTTTTGTGTTTATTCCAAAATTGAATTCCTTAAAACATGGTTTTTAAAACTGAACCGGTCAGGGGTCTGGTTACCGATCAAACGGTCCAACTGTTCGAACCGAACGCTCAGCCCGTTCTGATAGAAAAATAAAAAATTTTCAAAAAAATAAAAAACGATCAAAACTGTTCGAATGGTTAACTGCCCAGTTCAGCGATTTACTGACTAAAATCAACGGTTTTGGGGGAAAATCCGGTTTTTTGGGGAAATAGAACCAATCGGTAACTGGTTCCCGATTTTTCCAGTCCATTCCAATTTTGAAAACCATGCCTTAAAACACTACATGTAGAAACCTTCAAATTCAAAGATTTGGTCTTGGAGGGCTAGAGGAAAAGAAACCATACAATTGGAGGTCCTAAACTCTAAGTTGGAGAAAACAAGAGAAAGAAGATTGGATTGGAGGATGAATTACATAGCTTTAGGGCTGGAGCAGAGCAAAGCAAAAGTGGTGGTTTTTTGTTTGAAAATTTCGTTCTCCCTTTTCTTTTACTTTTTTTAATTAAAATTAAAAAATGAGAAAAAAAGAGGTCTCTTACACATCCATTTTGTTCGCACATGTAACTTGTTGAAAACGTGTAATGCTGGTATGCCATGTTCTGATAGGTAGTAAGATGTGCAAGAGGGCAAAGTGCAATAGTTCCTACCTGAACCCGAAACTCAATAAAGGGGCCCAAACACCCCCTTAATGCATAATTGTATATAATGGATTCAAGAACATTATTGTTATTTTATTTTATTTTTTGATAAGAACATTATTATGTTAGGTGTCACAACATGGTTTTCAAAATCGGACTAGACCGGACGGTCGAACCGAGAACCCCAAAAATCGGATTTCCCCCTAAAACCATTGATTTTGGTTAGCAAACCACTAAATCGGGCGGTTAATTGTTCGAACAATTTTGACCGTTTTTTATTTTTTTTTATTATTTTTATTTTTTTGTCAGAATGGGCCGAGCGTTCAGTTCGAACGGTCGGACCGTTCGACCCGATAATCAGACCCCTGACCGGTTCGGTTTTAAAAACAATGTGTCACAGCACCCAAAACAGATACATTCCAACACCCTACCAAAATCATCTCATACCGCACATTTCATACATGGCAGTCCCACACACTCCCACTTTTATAGTGGGCCTCAATTTCATAGTGAGATATGTGGTAACAGATCAAGTTGGTAAGGTCATGGACATGGTTTTTAAAATCGACTCGGAGACCGAACCAGTTAGGGGTCCGGTTACTGGGTCGAATGGTTCGATTGTTCGAATCAAATGCTTGGACCGTTCTGACAAAAAAAAAATAAAAACTGGTCAAAACCATTCAAACAGTTAACCACCCGGTTTAGCAGTTCACTGACCAAAATCAATAGTTTTGAGGGAAAATCCGATTTTTGGGGAAAACGGAACCATGACCAATTCCCGATTTTTCCGGTTCGGCCGTCTGGTTCGATCCAATTTTGAAAACCATGGTCTTAGAACTTGTGTTGTTGGTAGGAGACCCCAATTCCCTAAAACAGCTCAACAACTCTATGCACATAACCCAATATAGACGAACAACTACTGCTTTAGCTAATCTAATCCTATCTCATCGAACATACCCTGCATAGGCTTGCAACCACCCGACAAAAAGTTGACCCAACCCGAAAAAACAGGGTTAGGGTCTCATACTTAGCTACCTGAATTTGAGAATGGCCCAACCCAACTTGGAAAAAATTGGGTTGGGTCATGGGTCAATCCATTAACCCGATTGGTAGGTCTAATTGGGATTATTTTTGTATTGTTACAAGTTTCCACTCTTTTAATCTTTAGTATTTAGTCTTTCCTCTTTATCGTTCACTCTTTGAATTGTTTAATATTTAACTTTTTTATTTTACTTTTGGAATTTTAATATTAATTCCTTTAATTTTGGCATTTTTCATGTATTTTTCTTTATTTTTTAAAATTCTAGTTATTTTTAGGGATGACCCAAATTGGCACATGGGTCAACCCTAACTTGGACATTTAGGGTTAGGGTATAGCATTTGCCGACCCAACCTGAAATCCAACTCAACCCAAAATCACCCAAAAAGTGTCTTGACTCAACCCTAATTGCCATGTCTTACTAGCTAGTTTTCATTTCCAACACTATCCCAACAGGAAATTACAACACAAAGTACATAGATGTTTCTGATGTGTGGTTGAGATGTGTTATGAGGAGAGCTCTGTGAGGAGTTAGATCCAGACTCCTCCCCATACAAGGGAGAAATGTGCGGTTGTAGTGGCCTATTGGGACTTGGGAGTGATGTATTGGTAACATAAAGGCCCCGTTCGCTTTTCAGTAAGTTACTTATCCAGGTAAATGCAATTACTTGGGTAAGTGTTTCTTGGGTAAGTTTTTCCTGAGAAACACTTACCCAAGTAGTGCATTTACCCATGACCAATTTAGCCATAGAAATTCATTATTAAAAGGGGCATTTTTGTCCCATTCAAGTGTTGGCAACTTTCCACCTATGTGGGAAAGTTGTTTACCCACCTAGGATATGGGTATCACTTTCATGGGTAGGTGATACCCTTGAAAATAAACTTTCCCTAGTCTCCACATAAATCTGAAAAAAGAGCATGGGATTCTTGGTTCCCCCCTCCCCAAATCCAAAAAAAGAACAACCCCAAAGTGGTTTACCAAATGATCTTTACATAGTTACATATTAGGGGGCGTTCGTTTTTCGGATTTTGAGAGGGGGGGAGGGGGGAAGTTGGTCAATGGGATTTTGGTTCCCATTGACCAAGAATCCCATGTTCTTTTTTTCAGATTTATGTGGGGACTAGGGAAAGTTTATTTTCTTGGGTATACCCATCTCCTAGGTGGGTAATACCCACCTAAGGGGAAAGTTGTTAACACTCGAATGGGACAATAATGCCCTTTTTAATAATGGATTTTATGGATAAAATGGTCATTGCCTTATTTACATGAGAAATAAAAGAACATGGATAAATACACTTACCCGGATAAGTGTTTCCTAGGAAAAACTTACTTAAATAACTACATTTACCCAAGTAAATAACTTACCGAAAAGTAAATGGGGCCTTAATATATTATTTACTGTAATACCACATTTGGATTTGGAGCAGCAAATGGAACCTCATGTTCATCATACAATCAAAGCACTCCAATGTTCTACTAGTTATGGCTTACAGCCTCGTTCGTGTCTAGTAAATGATTTATTTGGATAAATACACTTATTTGGGAAAGTTTAATACATACCCAAATAAAAGCATTTACTAATGTTCTTTTAGTCCCTAAGTATAGATACAATGACCGATATATAAAAAAAATGACATTAACTCAAATCTTAAGAGAGAAACTTCCCCATATAAATGAGTAGCATGAGAATCATTTTTTTTCCTTAAGATCCAGTAATATTGAACGAACATGGAAGCTACCAAATTACCCGCCCCTTCTTCAATGATAAGCTGGCCCTAGATCTGTATAAAATCTCGTAACATTTTATCACCGTAAATAATAAATCATGGTTGATAAATATGCAATCCAATAAAATTAGGATATTATATTCATGCTATTATATCATTATTAATATATCGCCATCCTCCTCTCCTCTAATAATTGTCCCAATGCAAATTTTGTATGTAAAAATTAATACAAAATTTGCACCATTTAGGGGTATTTTGTAGTGTGGATGAGAAATTCGTGGGTGTGTACTGGTCCATACTACACCCCGTGGCAGGGATCAATCCACACCACACAACAGTCCATAATTGTTATGAACTATGGACAAACTATGTGGATTGGACCAGTCCACACCCACAGTGTCCACACCACACTTTTTGATTTCGTATATCTCATATACATTTATGAATGATCTACACCAACGTTTAAAAAATGACCCAGAAACAGAACCGTTTTGGCCATTGGTTTTTGGGTCGATGGTTCGATCGTTCAGTTTCGAACGAACGACTTGTTATGACAAACAAATTAAAAAAATAATTAAAAATAAAAAAGGTAAAAAACTGTTGAATGGGTCGACGGTTCGACTACCCAGGTCAACGGGTTGTTGACTTTTTCAATGGTTTTTGGCCAAAAATCGGGTTTGGGGTAAAACGGAACCGCTTGCCTGGATGGTTCCTTGGTCGAACGGTCCGACCGTCCGGATCAATGGCGGTTCGAAAACCTTGATCTACATAGTTAATCATAAATATCTAATTTTTGCATTTTATATGATAAATATATTGAAAAATGCATCGATGAATTAATATTAACCAATAAATATTAATTTTTTATAAAAACAATAGTAAGATAATTAAAATAAAAAAATATATTTTAAATATTTGAAAATATTATTTTATTGATAAAAACATTAAAAAATTAAAAATTCAATAAAATAATTAATATTTTTTTGACAAAAATATTAAAATGTGAAATAGATAATAGGGTTTTAGCCTTTCGGGGAGAGTGTGAAGCAGAGGATAAAAAATAGTGTGGATGGGCCCTAACCACGAGTTGTTACCATGAATGAGAAATTGAGGTGTGGACTAAATTGGTCCACGATATAGCATAGACCGATCCTGTCCACAACAAATCGAACGGGTGTTTATCCCGTGAACATGACTGTCCACGAGATGAACACGATGCCGAACACGTCCTTAATTTTCTCTTGTATAAAATGGGATCACATCAATTTGATTTCTACCTTATTTCCCAAATAAGTAACATTACTTCCGGCAAGGTTAAAAGTTCCAATACATCTTTTTCTAGTTTTTTTTTTTTTCAAATTTGAATTATATATTATATATATTATTCATATTAAAAAGGATTAAAAATCGTAAGGATACTTTTGAACATTAACTTCCGCTTCATTTATCTTTTATATATATATAGATGGAGGCCACGTCATTTTACTTTTTATATAAACAAAATAAAGGGTAAATAACAAAGACCCCCATACTATAGGGTTGTGACAAAGACCCCCTGTATTTTGTTTTGCGATAAAGACCTCCTTTTTACTATGACCGTGAGACAAAAACCCTTTCTGTTAATTTTTCGTTAAAATTTGCGATTTTAATTCCCATACTACTATTATAATAAATATTCAAACAATTGGAAGAAAAACAATGTTCATCTTCCCCTACCTCACTATACAAACAGCGACAAAAAAGGGGCATTGTCGGTTTTGGTGGTTATGGTGAATTTGATCTTGCTGAATGGTGGTTGACTCTTGCAACGTCAGCCGGCTGTTAGTCGTTAAAAGCAGCTGAAAACAGATCCTAAGAAGCAGAAAAAGGCGGCTTCTGCTAACGGCCACAGATCAAGCAGGGTAAGCTCTTTAAGCTCAGGTGAACACCAGCTAGAGAAGCTCTTTCCTTTTGAAGAGAAGATCACTATCCGTAACTTTTGGTTGCTCTGAATTCCTAGAGTTACATAGGAATTGGGAAATCAAGATGGATTTTCCGAAGATTGATTTGATTAAACCAACCTGACATCCGATTGGAGCAAGGCGGACTCACCACTTAACCCAATCCACTGCATCCCTACTTGGATCAAATTTCAGAATCGAGAAGCATCCACCATCCAGTGGATTTGGGTCTGAAGACGTTGCTTGATCTCCAGGAGCTACTTTCGTGCTTCCATGGTGGAGAGAACACGGGTAGCTTTTCCATGGTCTCCTTCCCCTACTAGTACTACTCGTTGGAATTATGATGTCTTCTTGACTCTTGAGTTTCAGAGGCGAAGACACTCGTAAAAACTTCACTGATCATCTCTACAGCGCTTTGGTTCAAAGAGGGATTAATACCCTTAAAAATGACGATGAACTCAGGAGAGGAGAAAGCATCGCCTCAGAACTGTTTAAGTCAATCGAAGGCCGTAAATTTTACCGTTTTCACTCACTACTCGTAACTGTTGTTTATTGAAACTTAGAAATTGCTTGTCAACTGAGCATCTGGACAATGAGTTGAGGCGGCTGTGACTAAGAGGAACAAAAAACAGAGGAAAGCGGAGAAAAGAAAGGGGAAGGGAAAGAAGAGAGATAAATATGAAGGAATTTGAGATAAAAGAGATCACCGCTAGTGCTGTTCGTGTATGGTGGAGTTGGAGAAGATGAACAGTGCTTTTCTTCCAATTGTTTAAATATTATGGGAATTAAAATGATGAATTTTAACAGAAAATTAACAAAAAGAGTCTGTCTCACGGTCATAATAAGGAGGGACTTTATCGCAAAACAAAATACAGAGGGGTCTTTATAAACATTTAAAGGAATCGATACCTACATTCACCCACGCCAGCCTATAAATTACATCAATTCCGAACCAACACCTACCCCGACCGTACATTAAACCTACTAATTCTTACACTACGGGTATCGATCATTCTCCCAAAAATAAATCAGGATCACCACTCAATCAATTCGATTTATATTTACACGAGTAGAAATGAAATTAGAAGTGCAACTACCAAATCGAGCCTTGGCCTCACGTCAAGACTTCCATCCCTAAATTTTATTAGTCATTTACCCTCTCTCTCTCTCCTTGCACGTGCCTGTGTACAGAAAAATAATACTCCTCGAACGACAAACCTAAAACCAAAACCCTATAAAAACCCCTTTATTAAATCTTAAATCGAGCTCTGTTCATCTTTGGCTTACCACATCTCTCCCGAACCCATGGCTCTCTCGAAACCCGTTTTCTTCCCCCACCTCAAAACCCTGAGCAAACCTCACCACCATCCCTCACCACTCTACCTGTCTCTCCGTCTCCTTTCCTTCGCTACCCCTGAAGAGGCCGCTGCCGAGAGGCGTCGCCGCAAGCGTCGTCTCCGCATCGAACCCCCTCTCAACTCCCTCCGCCACACCCAGCCCCAACAACGCCCCATAAACCCCACCCCCAACCCTAACGCCCCCAAACTCCCCGAACACGTCTCCGTCCTCACCGGTAACCGCCTGAACCTCCACAATCGAATCCTCAAGCTAATCCGCGAAAATGACCTCGATGAAGCAGCTCTTCTCACTCGCCATTCCATCTACTCCAACTGCAGACCCACCGTCTTCACCTGTAACTCTGTCATGGCCGCCCTCCTTCGCCAATCCCGATACGCCGATCTTCTCTCGCTCCACCGTTTCATCACTCAGGCTGGCGTTGTCCCCAACGTCGTCACTCACAACCTCCTCATCAACGCCTACTGCGATTGCAGGAAAACCGATACTGCGCTTGAACATTACAAGCAGCTTATTAATGATGCCCCTTTCAATCCTTCCCCGACTACTTACCGGATTCTCGTAAAGGGCCTTGTGGATAACAACAAAATCGATCGAGCGTTACAACTCAAGGACGAGATGCTCACGAAGGGTTTTGCTCCAGACCCAATTGTTTATAATTATCTCATGTTGGGTCTTGTGAAGAAGCCGGACGCTGATGGAGTTCTTGCACTGTATGATGAATTGAAGGAGAAGCTAGGACCTGTTTCGGATGGGGTTGTGTATGGAAGCTTGATGAAGGGGTACTTCTTGAAAGGAATGGAGAAAGAGGCCATGGAATGCTATGCTGAGGCCGTTAGAGAGGATTCTAGGGTTAGAATGTCGGCAGTTGCATATAATTCGGTTTTGGACGCTCTGAGCAAGAATGGGAAGTTCGACGAGGCAATGCGGCTGTTTGATCAAATGATGGAAGAGCACAGTCCGCCGAGGCGGCTCACCGTGAATCTTGGTAGTTTTAATGTTATGGCAGACGGATTTTGTGCACAAGGGAGGTTTAAGGATGCGATTGAGGTTTTCAGGAAGATGGGTGAGAAGAGATGCAGTCCAGACACTTTATCTTTCAATAATTTGATCCAACAGTTATGTAGCAATGGGATGGTGGCAGAGGCGGAGGATCTTTACAGGGAAATGAGCGAGAAGGGGGTTAACCCGGATGAGTTTACATACGTTTTGATGATGGATGCTTGCTTTGCGGACAACCGGGCTGACGAAGCTGCTGGGTACTTTGGGAAGATGGTGGAATCAGGACTCAGACCGAATGCCGTTGCATATAATAAGGTGATTGATGGTTTGGTTAAAGTTGGGAAGATTGATCAGGCAATAGTTTTCTTCGACCAGATGGTGGAGAAGTTAAAGGTAGAGGTCACAAGCTATGAGGAGATGTTGAAGGTGTTGTCTGAAGCAGGTAAGTTGGATGAGGTGCTTAAGTTGGTTGCAGACATGTTGAAAGATGATAGTCTGAGTTTGAGTTCAGAAATGCAGGAGTTTGTGACTGCTGCATTGAAGAAAGAGGGAAGAGAGGAGGAATTGGTTAAGTTGTTGGAGGAGAAGGAAAGAGAGAAGGCTGAAGCTCTTTTTAAGGAAGCAGAAGCAGCAAATGCCAGTGAAACGTCTGCTGCGCTGACTGCCGGATCTTCTGCAATCCTAAGTAACGAAGCCAAGGTGGAGACGACTAATTTCGGTGAAGCTACTATCAACCCCGCACTTGTGAATGCAGCGGATTTGACTGTTGGCGACCAACAGAATAACCAAGAAGCTACTGCTGTTGAGAGTGATTCTGCAGAAGCTGGTGTTGTACAAGTGAGTACAACTGAAGATTTGAAGATTAAAAACGATGATGTTTCAGCAGAACAGGTAACAGTTTAACAAAACTGTTAATGGTGCATTTGATGATTCTTTGGAGATAGATACTTTTCTTTCCCATGAATGTAGCTAGGAGTTCTTTAAAGATCAATTATGCTATTTTAAGGGTTATTGGGTATATGACAGACTTGTTAAACTAGGCGACTACCTCGTGCTCTACCCATTTGTAGTTGAGTATGTATTGAACTCCAAAGTCCAACAATGTTAGAAAGCACTGAAGGGTGTTTATACTTATATCTGTTTTGATGACTGAATTCCACCATTTTTGTTACTGTTTTGCCTGTTTTACTTCCCTCAATATGAGAGATTTAGCATTGTATTATTAGAATATTGAACCCTCTTAATTCTATTAGTAAATCAGTTTGCCATATGTTCTTTTCATCTCTGGTTAAAATTCAATCTTGGAATTGACACAAGTATGCTGGTTAAACCAGTAATTGATGATCCAATCAAGGTTTTGTTCCCTGCTGATATTAAAAAACCCTGCTTAAGCTTAAAAAGATGAAAAGCCGTTTGTATGCCCTTAAAACAGTGGTATGTGGCATTTGGCAAAAAGTATCAGGACCTTGCTTGTTTTTGCCGGCCTAAAAGATCCAATACCATTTTGTCAAAGGCTGAAAGCAGATCTAAACTTCCCTTTTGTCAGATATTCATGTGAAATATAAATTTTGATCTTTTAGGCTCAGTTTGGGAAGAGTGTAAATGCAAATATGTACAGTGCAAAGCCTTATACACGGTATTTCTARATCTTGCATTTGCACTGCACATTTGTATTTGCACTCTTCCMAAACTGAGCCAGGCTCCATTTTATGTACAGTGCAAAGCCTTATACACGGTATCTCTAGATCTTGCATTTGCACTGCACATTTGTATTTGCACTCTTCCCAAACTGAGCCAGGCTCCATTTTATTTAGATCTAAAAGGGACGAAGAAACAAGAAAGTTTTCACAATGGAACATTTCAGCTGTTATGTATGCTCCTTTTGTGGCAAAGCTTTGTTTCCCAAGCAATTTATAGCAAAACAAATTAAAATGGGGGCAAACAAAGTTTTTGCGGCAGAAGGGACTGAAATAATAGCTGAAATAGTTCTGTCTGAAAAACTTGAAGGGCAGTAACTGAATCGGCAGAAAGATATTGATGGCCCAATATTGAACTTGAAGCATATACAATCCGCAGGATATAAGATTTGCCTGCCCCATGTAAGTTAATTGTTTGTTAGAAAATGAAGCAGAAAAAGGTGAATTGAAAACAAGAAAAAAGCAATTCTACTCTGAAGATATGGATACAAAGATATTCATATTTGAAGACCCAAACCCGGCTAGATTTGTAAAGATTGCCAAAAGAAAATTAACGGAAGTTCAGGAGGTAAACATCTAAAAAAATAAGAACCATCATAAAATGAATGCCATGCATGAATCCCCACATCTTGAAATGATCAGAGTAAAATTTGATGCTTCAATTAAAAACAATGGAGCAGCAATTTGGTTGCACCCATGGTTCATAGTATGAAACGCCCGTGTATTAAAAGAAGTGTATGGGTACTTAAAAGTTAAAAACCATCCATTTTTATATTTTTTTTAGTTTTTTTTTTTCAAAAATTAGTTTTTGGGTATATATATTATTAAAAAAAGGAGGGGTCCCATGTCCCAATTTGGGTACGGGGTGTGTCAGATTGAAATTTTGATCCTTGGTTGCACCACAATATATGGATCTATCAAAACAAAAAGGTTAATAATTGGATGAAAATGGTAGGCTAGCCTCCTAGGAGAGTCTAAGCATATTCATCGATTTTTTTGGCAAACCTCGGCGAGACCCGTTCCAATCATTGAACGTCTTTTTCATGGGTTTGAATTTTGAACATGGGTCTCCCGTCTGCAGTGAGGGAGAGGTTCCTCGTATACATCTCAATTCTTGAGCAATGGAGGCACCTCGGCTCTGCAATTATTATTCTTCTTTCATAATTAATCAGAAAACACCACCAGAGAGAGAGAATTCTTCTTTTTCTGTTGACCTCCGAGCCCTTAAATAATAATAATACAAAGTTCCACATAAACAAAGTCCCACAACATATCTCATTACCGTCTACAGTAAGAAAAAAAAAATGGTTGCTTATTAGCAGTGTGCAGAAGATCAATCTTCCAGCGTGTCCATACATCTTTCAGACTCTCCAACATCTTCATTTGTAGCAATTTTACCACAAGACAAGTTGGCAGTTGGCACACGTACGGTACGTACAATACACACAGAGACAAGAAGAGTGATTCGTCAAACACGGACAACCAAGTTGCGTGTATGACGGACGGACGGACCCATACAATGCATCTCTTCTCAGCTGCATAGATTGGGTATGCACACCCCAGCATCCGGATTCTGTTGCTCCTTCCATATCCGCCCTGTAACTCGCAGTTTCAATTCCTTCCTATCCCCACCAGAGAAGAAAAGTGCCATGTTACGCTGTATGATTAGTCCATCATGGCTATCCCTGACTTTTCGGTGGCTGTCACGGATACTCCGTGGGGTGCCCTCCCATATGAGTTTACGCCCATTTGCCCCAACCTCTAGGCTGTAGCTGTAGTTGCGAGCCTCGGTCTCATCACCCATGAAGCGGAGGAATGCCATGTAAACAGGAGCCATGCCAAGCTGGAAGGCTTCAAAATGCAGACAGAAGTACTGACCAAAACAATTGAAGACCTGCCAGAAAAAAAAAAAAGAAAAAATCAACATGGCCACAAAAATTCAGCTTTCAGCAATGTCTGAGGTAAACTCTCTCATTATGAGTAATTAACAAAACTTTCACGATACATGAAAACATATTAAACTTGACATACTGTAAGCATCCAAGTGGCATTTTCAACTTCACGGGGATTAGACTTGACATAACGATGGTTGAATGTGCATCCTGTGTGCATGTCCACTTTGTGATCATCCCTCAGATGGGCCACCAGAAAAGGAATATCTCCAACAACTGAGCATTCTGATCCAGCATATGGGCAGTTGTATGGTCGGAAGTTACATTGTGCCTCGTGTTTGAGCTTGCTATAATAGGGGAAGATCTCTGGGCAGCCCAATGAGCAGTACTTGCAGGGCAGTTCAAGTGACTCGGCCACTTTCTCCAAGGCTAGACACCTGATATCTCCTAGCTCCTGTCTACAAGTAGGGCATCGATTGTGCACCCTTGTTTTACAGGTAGAACATAGCGTGTGCCCATTATGGCACTGCAAGAATGCTTGTTTGTTAGAATTAGCAATTGTTTTAGTTCTCCTTTACAACTAGTAACTGAAAAATAAATTTTTGAAAACAAACAATTGCCATGCCCCAAGGACAAGACCTCAAAAGAGGCCAACAAGCAAAAGCACAATCAGCTGTAAATTTTGACCTTTCTTATAAGAATAACAATGTCAGGAATTTAGCAATCAAAAACAATGCTCCACAACTGCTGAAATTACTTGGAAGATAAAACAAGGGATTCACAGAAGAAACCCCACCAACAAAAAATGATCAAGTTTAAAAATTTTATGCACCAACTTACCCCTGCAATAAAAAAGAACCACCCTTCATTTTCCTCACTCTCTTTCTCTTCCTACTCTCTTTCTTCATTCATCCTCCAATTTCCTCTGGTTTCATTTGCATTTAAGAGCTGCTCTAGGGATTAAAGCAAGGAAGAAAGTATCAGGAAAAATCAGAGGAATGGAGCCCTTCTAGGGATCAAAGCAAGAGGGGAGGGAGTTGGAACTTAGGAAGAAGCAGAACAGGGGAGAACATGTATGGAGCTCTTGTATCAGTCCCATCCCACTTATTTGTTTTTCTCGAAACCAAAGAAGCAGAATGGGGAGAGCAGGTACAGTTGATCAATGGAGCTCTTCCATCAGTCACACCTATTTGTTTTTCTTTTTCTTGAAACTAGAGAAGCAGAATGGGGGACAGCCAGTACAGTAAATCAGTGGAGCTCTTCCATCAGTCCGACTTATTTGTTTTCCTTCAAAACAAACGTCTTTAAAAGTCAGAAGAATCGTTGTTTACTCCTTTAGGGGTTATGTGTTTGAGGATCAACTCCGAGTGGCTCAAGATTGTGTGTGGAAGCCATTTTAGCAGTGAAACCCAATAAAATGATCTAGAGACAACGGCAACCAACCCAGTGCCAATTTCCTGACAATAATCCTCTGAATCACATCCTCCTTAACTTCAACTTTGCTTTTTGGAAGCTAGATCCAGTGATCCACCTTGATCACATGCACCTGAGTTTTCTCCGACCTATTTGATCTGATCTGTTCTGGTGGTTTACCAAGCACAAAGATGGAGCGAGCAAGGGGAGGGGATTGATCAAAAGAAAAATAGAGGAAAAATCTCCCATGCATCAACTTGTTTTTTGGCAAAGAGAACCACCTGTATACCTAACCTACTCCCTTTTCTTTGGGCCTAGATGTATCAACAATAAATTTTCACGAAAGCCATACAATTTTAAAACATTTCTAGCCAGAAAATTACTTCAATCACCTCCAAAGGCTAAGGAGGAAAACCAAAGAGAACATTCTATGTGGTACTAAATCAAGAAATCAGAAGAGCTCTTAGAGGAACTAAAAGGCCAAAAGGAAAACTTCCACTCAACAATAAGGAGCCTTGCTTACAATGTTCTAACTTCTAATAACATCTCAATTCAATTCAAGTAATCCTTGTCCTTATTATATGGGGTTGGTTACAAGAATCTTGTTCCACCATTCAACTATCTCAAGTGCCATATCTATTGTTGAATTATGTTGCATCGAATTATTTCTTACTACTTCAATCCATATCTCTTCTAGATCCTTCCAACTTGCAAAAGACCACTTCTCAGTTCTCACCAGTGTTGTAGACTATGATCCCCAGACACAGATGCAAACACAGATTCACATGTGGGAAACAGGGATATGACTCTCCATTTCCTAAAATCCCAGACATGGATACAGGTATGGATATCCCATATAATATGCTTATATCATGCTTCTATATCTAATTTTTTAATCTAAGTGTCATTCCTCAATACTTATGTCCTGCCAAATTTAATTAGATTTCTAACATGTATAGATATTTTTATAAAATAATTTGTTAAAAGTATACCATCTTACATATTTTGCAAGTGTTAACGCTACAGAGTATATAGAAGAGTCCATGCATTATCTGGTATCATATCCGGTAAGTATCAAGTCCAATATAAAGTATTGGATGGCCCCTTGGAAGTGCAATGTCATACCTTGACATACCTCTAGGGCTGAACCGTTGAAGTACAATGCCATGTCAATCTAGGATCCAGTGATAGAACAGGTTGAAAAAGGATGGCCCCTTGAAAGGCAAACTATCTCTCAAAGGAAGGTAAACTGACTCTCACCAAGCATGCATCGGAAAACCTCCTCTCTTATTAGATGTCTCTCTTCCCCATCCCAGCTAAGGTGGTATTGGTAAAGAGAGTTGAGAAATTACAACAGGACTTCTTCTGGAAAGGATGGAAGGAAAAGGATAAAATTCATCTTGTAGATTGGGATGCTGTTTGGAAGCCAAAATCAAAGTGTACTGGGAATTAGGACGCTCAGGGTGAAGAACAAAGCTCTGTTATGCAAAAGGCACTAGAGATTTCATACCTAAGCTGATAAGTTGGTGGAGATCTCTGATTGTAAACAAATATGGCTTGAGAAACGGGGGATGAGACCCTGGTTTAGCCTTTTCTCCTTATGGATGCTCCATATGACAAGACATAGAAGGCTGTTCTGAGGTGTATGCTGCTGGTAATCCTTACAAGGTGGGAAATGGTACCAGATTTTTTTATTTTTTATTTTTGATGAATGAATGGTACCAGAATTATCTTCTGCCTTGATCTGTCGTGTGACAGCGAAGCCTCTAAAAAATATCTTTCCAGTGGTGGACTCTAAGGAGGTAAGTGTGAATCCAATTCAAAAAAAATAAAAAAAAAGTGTGAAGGATTGTAATGAAACCACCAACAATAAATTATCAAAAAAAATTGAAATCACCAACAATCATATGGTCTGGATGCCAAATTGGCCAAGGGGGTTGCTTCACTGCTACTGAAACTTTACCAAAAGGCAACCAGAGGGGTCTCACCCCACACCCCTTTGTCAGCCTCAATCAGTACAAGGCAATTGTTGCTGAAGTAGAGATAATTCTTTTCCTTCAAGTTTGGTGTGGAGCCCAGTGATTTGCTCAAGGGTGGCTTTCATGGATTGGACAACTGCACTCAATAAATATCTCATGAATGAGAGTTCAACTCAAAACCCAAAGAGGTGTGTCTATTCCCTCCATTGAGTGTGTTCATTGTAATCACCCCCTTGATTTGGCTGGCCATCTATTGATTCTATTCATACATTGTCCTCTCACTCAGGAAACTTGTCTGTTCTACTTATAGCACTGAAGGTTTGCTGGGTGTTCCCTCAGAATGTTCAAGAGGTTTTTGAAAGCGGGTAGTTAGGGCTTAGGGGGTTTGTCTAGGAAAGGGAGGAGAATTTGGAGAACCATACCTGAAATGATCATCTGGACTGTGTGGAAGGAAAGAAATCTTAAAACATTTGAAAGCAAAGAAAGATGAAGTAATTAAAAATGTCATTGTCACTGCTTACAAATGGCTAGCTGTAGCTGGATATTTCCATAATATCCCCCTTCAGGGGTGTATTTCTTTGGATGTCTTACTGGGCTTATGGTTGGACTCATTATGGTTTTTTTGGGACAAATCCTTTTCTGGATTGTATAGCTTACAGTTGTGTAGGGTTGTAAGTTTATTCTCTGTAAATTCACCATGTTTTTTGCATGGTCATACAATACTTCTAGCACTGAATGTATAGTGTCCTACAAATCAGTTTTGTCAGAGTCAGAGAGGACCAGAAAATTGGACCATCAATTGGCAGACAAAATGGATTTTGGGCTGCTTGGTTCTTAGAAATGTTGGCTTGGTCAAGCCTACTGCAAATACATATGTTAATACCTATTATAACCTATAATATTTTTTTGTTTTAAGCTTATTTTAAGTTTTTAACATTAAATAGTTTTCAATGATAATCTGGACTTATTTTCTATTTTTTTTATTTTCCTTTGTTGCATTTTAATTTGAGTAAGTCAAACAGTTAAGTGGTTAACTAAACAGCTGGACTGCTAGACCTGTGACTCATAGAGAGATTATAAAGAGAAAGATGATTATAAAGAAGGTGCTTTGGACTCATAGAGAGATTATAAAGAAGATTAAGAGGTTAATGAGGGAAATGGTGACAAGTACACATTGGGTACCAAAGGTTGCAAATGGCTGGGCTGATTCTCTAGCTAAGCAAGGGGTAAATAGAGACCAGTTATATTGGGCTCAATTATAATCATTTGTACTGAATTGTAATGGGGTGAGGGAGGAAGATCTACCTCTCCTTGGGACGCTGAACTTGTACATAATTTCTGTTTACATTAATGAAATTTTGTTTGTGTTGGCATCTTGGAAAGCCTTTCTTCCTCCTAGAACTTTTTAAAAAGGAATCATAAGAAAATAGAAACCTTAAGACACAATGACGTAAGATCCAATACAGCCTTGTACACCCTACTTAACAATTAATAGCACTTTCTAAAAGGCTATAACTTCTAGATACCCCAAGACAACATTCTAAAGTCTAAAGAGATAAGCACCTAGAAAAAAAAATAAAAACTAAAGATTAACTTAGAAATCAATTCAAAATCCAGGTCAATATTCTGAAGTTGTAATTATAACTTAAACCATATAAAAGGTTAAACCAAATCAGATCGTGTATCATGTTTAAAACATAACACTACTATTGTTTTCTAGAAACTTGTCAAAAATTCCTTGTAAGAATTTAAGAATGTGTAGTAAGTAAGACTTTAAATAAATAGATTATAGAAAAATGATTTTACCCGATTTTAAATCCACATCCACCAAATCAATAGTTCCCAAGTTTATTATCCATGTTCATAGTCCATGCCTCACAACTGATTAGGGCATAGTAATTTTTCAAGAGTCCAATACAACAAGGACTAGAAAGTGTTATTGGCAACAATTGAGTAAAGAAAAAAGGGGGAAAATCTTCATAGAATGTTGGAAAATATACTATGATTGCAGTCAGAACTTCAATCATAGGAATTCTTTTGTACTTTAGGTATGTTGGAATTTTTTAAAGCAAGCCAAATAATTAAATACTCATCTTAAGCATGTCAACACTTTCAATAAAATTCCTATATGAAAGAAACTATCCCAAACTATGTATAAGAAATCTAGTGAATAAAATGTTTTCAAATGTCATAAGCTAAACTTGAAGCCTTCTTCTGGTAAGGTAAAATCTCTTAAAAAAAAGCATCTTTATTAAATAGGGTAAATTACAGAATGCCACCCTCTACTAATGGTATGGGGTCATGACTCTTAGCTGCCCAAACTTTGTTTTGCAACAAAGACTCCTCTATACTAAATAGGTATGTTTAAACATTTCTAAAACCCCAAACTATGCTTGTGTTATTTTGTGAGAAGAAACTTGTGTTGGAATCTAGAAGAAACTTGGTCTCTCCTCTTGTGTTGTTTCTTTTAGATTTTCTATCGTTTTCCTTACATTACGAAAGATGAATAGCAAGGTTAGAAAAAAAATCAAACTACAACCAAATAATAAATGGGAACCCAAGGATAGCCCTAATAGGTAGAAAAATGATGGTAATCCAACTGACATGATCCGATCATGTGCACCAAATACCAATTGGCTGCACTAGTGAAAAGGGGCAATCTAGAGCAAAATGAAGTGATGTGGATCAAAGAAATGAAAAACATTAGATGGGGGTATAACAAAGGATCTAGCCATATACATGATGGAATGGAGTAGAATCTGACCCTACATAATTAAAAAGATTAAAAGGCAATACTTAACTGAGAGTGAATTGGACAAAAACTACAAAGAGTAAGGGGTCATTTGATAACAGCTGAAGTGGCTAAACTGAATGACTTATTACTTTGTCTTTTAGTGAGTAAAATAATTAAACAGTCAAAATTCAAGAGTATAGTAATCAACCAAACCTCAACTTTAGACATTAAGGAGCTCACAACCTCCTTAATAACTTATTCATTAAAAAACAATGCAATAAGTCATTCGGTTCAGTCATTTCTGCTGTTATTGAACAGCCACTAAGTCATATACAAATATAAAAGATAAAAGATATTTATCAAAAAAAAATGCAAAGATAAAAGAATAAGAGTTGAGTCCACGTAAATCCATATCACCACGACAATGTAGAGTACCATTTAAAGAACAAATATATGTAAAGGAAACAGGAGCACTAATTTTGCAATACAAAAATAAAATAAAATAATATCATAAATACAATGATCATAAAAAATTCAGGTTGAAATAAAAGTGAAGACCCAACAAAGGCCACATGTTTAACTGTTGAAGTAATTTAGTCCTGTTATCTAGGGGTGAGCATGGGTCGGGTTTGGTTTGGTTCCAAGGCAAAAGCTGGAACCTACCCTGTAGGGGTCAGTTCTGGCCTTGACGATTCCAGGATCGGTTCCAAGGTCTACTCCTAGAACCTGTTCTTTCTTTACCCCTCCCCCCCAAAAAAAGGAACCTGTTCTTTAAAACTTGATTTTCGATAATAATAACAATAATATATACTTAGAAACTTATATTGCCTTTATTGATTAAATTGGATAATTTAATTTGTGGATCATCATAATATATTAATATATAGTACATAACTTATATTATAATTTAAATTTGTAAATATCGCCTTTGACATTACTTATTATAGACATTCAGATTTCAGATATTAAACTTAAGAAAAGTAATCAAATCACTTAAGTGACTCAATGGTCAAATAAGACCATGGTCTTTGAAACCACGAGTTTTTGAGTTCAAATCTTCACATCCTCGAAGATTTTTTTTTTTTTTTTTTTAATTTCAAGGCAAGTTTGGTTCTAAGGTCAGTTCCCCCAAGGTCAACAAAGGCTAGTTCCACCAAGGCCAACCAAAACCAGTTCTCCTGGTTGGTTCCAAATTCCCATAATATGAAATCAGACCCAACCTAGTAACAGATTGGATAGGGTTAGTTCAAGGCTGGTTTGAGGTCAGTTCCCTTCGGTTCCAGGTAGAACTTATCCATTAGCTCACTCCTAAGTGTTATATTTGCAATGATAGGTAAACAGTTCCAAATTCCAAAAACTTTAAAAGACCATTATTCTATTGTTAATAGGTGTAACTTTACTGGTAATTTTAGAACACCATAATCAAAAGTTCGATAAGAACACTGTACACTAAATAAGAAAAAAGAATCTCAAATGGCATTCATGTTATTAAAACATAAAGTTCCAAAAGAATCTATTTCCCATTAGAAAATGATTGTCATCTGCACATACAAGATAGAAAACTAAAGAAGAGAAATACAAAGGAAATTCCTCAAAGGAGTATTCTAACATGGATGTTGGATGATCCAGAAGGTCATAAGATTGGAAACAATGCAGAAAAACTAAAGATTTATATTTAGACCGGATAGGTTTCCATATTCATATTCACAATAATGAATGTGCCAGTAAATTTTTCGACCCAATTTTCCTAAAGCTGTTAAAAAAAATCCCTATAGCCCATTTCAGCAATCCTTGTCATCAGAGTGATCTTCATTTTCACCTTATCTGGCCCTTTCTTTTTCTTTATGAATAACTCCAGGAACAATTTGCTACAACCAACGATGCCCCAATAGAAAATACATCACTGAAACCCTTCCATTAAAACCAAAAGAAAAAGTCATACCCTACCAAAAAAACAAAACAGATAGGAAGCCAATACGAAAATCCTGGAACCGGAAGATCCAATCCCAGAATGGTTATATTTTTCCGACACCAACACTCAATTCTCCTTCAATCCCCAATCCCATATGAAAGTCGATAATATGATGTCAGAAAATTCAAAAGTCACCAAGAACATAATTCGGGATTCCTTTTAAGATGCCAATACCCCTCCATTCCTTCTCGAATGCGTCCAGCTTTGGCAACTAAACCCCCTAATAATCAAAGCCCAGAGAACCAACCAAAAGTTCCAAGACCCAAATAAGACAGGATCAGTGTTAGAGTCCCTTCGAAATCCATGTCGTATTTCCCCTTGATTCGACCCCAAGTCATCAAATCCAACAACCCAGACACGACATCCAAATTCGAACCAAACCAGGCAAAAGTACATATTCTTGGGACCAAAATCAAGCAAGAAAGACCATGGATCAAGAAATCGTTTGAAATCCACATTCCCAAAAGAGCCTTCAGGAACATCAAACCCAGCACCGAACCCCACAAGTTCTCCAAATTAACAGAGAGAGAGAAAGAGAGAGATAGAGAGAGAGAAAGAGAGAGTAAAGAACACAGGCCTGGTGGATAGGTGGGTACATTGAATTGGTGCAGACGGGACATTCGAGCAGCTCATGGACGCTGGTGGCCGGAGAAATCGCGGACGGAACGACGTTGTTGTGGGGCTTGGAGGAGAACTGATGGTGATGGATCTCTTCCTCATCGATCCCGTCCGAGGATGAGACGCATTCAATGCTATCCAATTCCATTATTCATATACAACAACAAGAATACCCGGAAATGAAGTGGGTAAAAGCTATTATTGCTCTTGTTTTGGGTTTTCTTCTTTTCTTTCGATCCTTCCCCCTCTATCTCACGTCGTCTTCGATCATTGAAGACGAACAAAGAAAAGAAAAAAAGGAAGAACAAAAGAATAGAAAGAAAACCAGACAGCAAGAGGGAGAAAAAAGAAACTAAAACAAAAAAGAGGAGAGGGCTCGATCGGAACGGAATCACCAATTGCCTCTCGAAGGAGGTGCTTTTGCCGGGTTGTGAGACAGAAGATGAGAGATGAAAGGTTTACCGTCGAAAATGCAGCATTGATCCAAATCAAACGGATTTCAGTATTTCCAGGTGTGTGCGAGAGAGAGAGAAGAGAAAAGAGAGAGAGAGACTTCAAAAAAGTATAAAGTAAAGATACAATTGATGTATCGTATGTAGAGAGAGCGTGCGTACAAATCCTACGTGTGGAGCCTAGATGATTCAAGTATTTCAACTCGGAAATTATGAAGATAAAATATTTCCTCGCGAGTCCCGAGTTCTGACAAACAAATAGACGAATAGTATCAGACATCATCATCACTCATCAGTAGAATTAAACGGAGAGGATATGCAAAAGGAGCGCGTACGCGTAGCAAATAGATGTATACAACCCCAACTCCTTATCTGACAGGTGTCCATTTATGTCGCAGCATAGAACCTTCTACTGGCATGTTTCAATCCAATCATCCAATTGGGATTTGCTTCTCACACCGACATCACAGCCACTTCCCACCCTGTAGTGGTAACATCTCTCATCAATAATAAATAGAAGTATAAGAGATTGTTCCTGATGTGCGGTCAGGGTATGTAAAATTGGTGTGAGGGGCACTCTGTGGAGAGCAGATCTGGACTCCAATCATCGAGCCCATATAGGATTTGGAGCCTAAGCCTAGGATGTGACTGTAAGATCGATGTTAGGCGCCATGTGTGGTATCTGGTCTCAGCCTTGGACACTGGTCACTTGGATCAGGGTGGGGCCACAGGCCACATCATCCTGCTCTGCTGCACCTGCACGGCTAGAAATGAAAAGGAGGAGGAGCCTTTATTCCGGGAGCATGGAGTGTCTCTTGAGCAACGAACATGGGGCTGGGAGTGGGAGCCTGGGATTGTTAAAGTAGAAGATACTTCTGTTATCCATGTTGTGGGAAGGGTAGGTCCCCCTCCTTCTGCACCGTTTGATTGATTTGCCTTTTTGGGAATAAATTATTCGACACCCTGAACAGATTTATCCATCATGGTCATGATTATGTGTACCTTTGATTAAAAAAAGACCGCAGATGTGCAGAGGCGCTGCGTGGCTCCGATCAGGTTAACTTTTGATAGGTTATGGTGTGGGTTGGGTAGGGTGAAACGGTAAACCCGCATTAACCATGCCCTATTGCGTTAGGTAGGGTCAGGTCACCCTCATCAGGCTTTGGGTCGGACTTACGTTTAGGGTTGATTAATCCAAAACAATTTGAATTTATAATTAATACATTTTCTAATTAAACTTATAAATTTTTGTATTAATCACCTAAAAAATATCAAACAACTGGCATTCTCAACAACTTCAAATTTTAGAAACCGAATCAGCCCTCACAACGTCGCACATCCCCGCCGTGTATTAGGAACATTTCCCGATGATGACATCTTTATTTCAGATATTATTATTTAAAGATGTTTCTAATGCAAGGCGGGGATATGCTGTGGGCCGTTGTGGACGGCGAGGATGTGATGTAGGCCATTGTGGGGGGCTGATTTGACTTTATTAGGTTGTGGTTGTGGTGGTGACATCATACTTGGGGAGGGGGAGGGGTGACCACTGCAAATTTATTCATTATGCATGGAGGGGGGATGTGTACTTGAAACAACCAAGACCAAAGCTTCCACGAAGTTGTACAATCGCCGTTAAGAATATCAATCAAGATTTTGGAGTTCGACTCCACCATAATCTTATTTAAATCTAATGCAATAGCAAGGTTTAAACCATCCATCAATGCCATAGCCTCTGCAACTAAATTAGTTTCAGTGCCACAAGTGTTAGAGAAAACACAAACAAAATTGTTCATTCCATCTCTAATAATACCCCCTCCACCATAGGGGCCCGGGTTTCCTTTGGAAGCACCATCAACATTCAGTTTTAGATAACCATTTGGGATCGTCATCAAATGCACCACATTGATGTTCTTTCCTTTGATCGGTTGGATCCGCAGCCCCAAACCCTATAAGGATAGCTACTGATTGTAGTTCACCTTGTGAGTTAGAGTTAAAGAGGAAGAAACCTCATGAAGCCACTGCACTACCACCCAAATCACCAGCTTGGAGAATCTGAATTTATTTTCCATTCTGTGCCTATTCCTCTCTTTCTAAATCTCCCAAACCGCAAAGCAACCAATCAGCCCTACCACAACTGCCCATTGATTCCTAGCCGATGCTGCTAAAAACCAACTATACAGAAGCTTCTTAATACTCCCATTCCCCTTGAAAGGCAACCCTAGAATTTTGCTAAAGAAGAACCACACTTTTTGAGTTAAACAACCATGCACCAACAAATGATTGATGTCTTCTTCTGAAGGGTCACAACATACACATCTGGAAACCAAAGGAACTCCCAAATCCTTAATATCAACATCCGCTCCAACCTTCCCGACCATAAGTTTCTAGACAAAGAAACTTATCTTGGTTGGCACAAGAGCATTCCAAATTACCTTGGACCAGTTCACAAGAGGATGAGCAATCCTATAAAAAGACCAAGCTGATTTTATAGAAAATTTCCCCTTCGCCTCAACTAGCCAAACTATTTTGTCGTGGCAGTTAGAGAGCCTCATACTAGAACCCTAAATGCTATTTAGGACTTCCTCCTCTAGAAAACCACGGACCTGATCTAGGCACCAAACCCGTTCTTCATTAAGGACATCACAAACCCTCAACTGTAAATTTAGCCCTTCGTGCTGAAAGACTTTATCAACCAAGGGGCCATCCATAGTCCACTTATTACACCAAAAGTTGATTTCTCCCCTCCTCACCATCCACCTCGAAAGATGAACTAAATCACCTCTTAATTCCATGTTAACCTTCCAAGTACGAGAAGTGTAGCAAGGAGGGAGGGTTGTATAAAAGTGACCATGTTTCAATACCTTAGCTCTAAAGAAATCATCCCATAAAGAATTGTGAAAGAGTACTCGCCATAGAGCTTTCATCCTAAGAGCTTTATGCACATCATATAAACTCTTAATTTGGAGGCCTCCTTCAGAGAGAGGTCTCACGATTTTTTTTTCAAGCAACCCAATGGTTGTGATTGGCGGAGTTAGAAGTAGTCCATAAGAAGCCTTTCATCAACTGTTCCAGACGCCTAGTAACACTTTTTGGTGTTGCCACTGCCGACATCAAATATATAGGGATACTGTTCAGGACATGTCTGATTAAAACAACCTTACCTCCTGCTGAAATCAATTTTCCTTTCCAACCTGAGATTTTGGCCACCACTTTCTACACTACACCATCAAAGGTTTCCGCTTCCACTCGACCATTACCAATTAGAATACCAAGATAAATAAAAGGAAGTTTTTTATGCAGATAACCTGTAGCTGAGGTGATAATCAGGATTCTGCTGTGAGATGCTTTTGTTGAAGTGAAGAAACAACTCTTTGTCTTATTCACTAATTGACCCGAACACTTCTCATATCTCTGAATGACTTCCATGACTTTCTCTAACACTTGCTTGGATCCCCTAATGAAGATAATGGTGTCATCAACATAAAGACTATGAGTGATATCTGGACAACCCCCGTGAGTAACATAAACACTTGCAGGATGCTCTCACCCAACTTGGATAAATTTCTGCTTAGGACTTCCTCTGCAATGATAAACAGGTAAGGCGACAGAGGGTCTCCTTGACACAACCCTCTTGTGGACTGAAAGTATCCTGCCGCTCCTCCATTCCACAGAACTGAAAACCAACAGTTATCAACCATTTTTCTAACCAACTCAATCCAAGCCTCACTAAAACCAAACATTTTCAAAACATCAAAGAGAAATGCCCAATTTAGCCGATCATAGGCTTTGGCCATATCCAGTTTTAGCACAACATTCCCCCCCACCGCCTTTCTTTCAATATCATTAACCATTTCTTGCACCATAGACACATTATCCATGATATTTCGTCCCTGTATGAAAGCACCCTGTTCTTGTGAAATCAGTTTAGGTAAAATGTTTGCTAGCCTCTTAGTAACAACCTTTGTAATAATTTTGTAGCAAAAATTACCTAGGCTTATGAGATGAAAATCTGTAAAACTTTCAGGAACTTTACATTTATGAATGAGAATAATAAAAGAGGAAGTGCAACTCACTGGGAATGGCCACTGTTAAAAAAGTATTGGACAACCCCTACCACATCCGCCCCAATAATATCCCAACATGAGACAAAGAAATGTCCCATAAAGAAATCCGGACCTGGAGCACTATCTCTATCCATGGTGTGGACCACCTCATGGATTTTTGTCTCTGAAGGAGTGGCCAATAATATATCATTATCTTCTTGATTTACCACACACGGAATAACCTCCAACAAATCATCATCGCAATCTGCCCTTTCCTCTGACAGAATACTGCAAAAGTATTTCACTGCACTCTATTTCATTTCCTCTGGGTCTATAATCCAGTCTCCTGTCGAATCTTTGATTTTGCAAATTCTATTTCTCATTCTATTCAGTTTTACAGAGAGATGGAAAATTTTGGAATTTCTATCACCCTATTTCAGTCACTTGATTCTAGATTTTTGTCACTAGAAATTTCCTCCAATCTGTGAATCTCATTAAGCTTCTTCCGCTCCTCCCTAAGTTTAGTGAGACTGGCAGCTGAGTTCACCTGTAAATGGTTCATTTTTGCACCTTGAACTCTGTCTTCTACCTCTTTTACTGCCTGATGAGTATTCCCAAAAACCACCCAGTTTCATTGTTTGAGTTTACTCCTTAATTTATGTAATTTGAGAAATAAATTTATCAATGGAGTAGCATGCACATCTTCATTCTAGCAATCCCTAACTGCAGTGTGAAAAGTATGGTGAGAAAGCCATATCTGCTGAAATTTGAATGGCTTGGGACCCGTCTGCCTTTCCTCCTCAACGGAGAAAACCAAGGGACAATGATCTGAACAAGTACGATTGAGATGACTTACCGGTTTCAAGGGAAACGATTGAGCCTAGCTAGAGTTTACTAGAACCCGATCAAGTCGAGCCCAAACACAGTCCAAACCTTCCCTATTATTGCACCAGGTGAATCTGCTTCCAGAGAAACCCAAATCCACCAAACCTGTTGCATTAATCATATCAACAAAATCCTCCATTGTAGAGACATCAGGACTTCTCCTTCCAACCTTTTCCTTTCTAAACGAAACCACATTAAAATCACTAGCTATCAACCAAGGTTCTGAGATCCCAGAAGCTAAATTTTGTATTATGTACCGGAGAAATGTTCTTTCTAACTGGTCACATTTGGAATAAACCACAAAAAGAATAAAGCCTCATCGACAGAAGTAATAATTCTCATAGTTAAATTCTGATCGTAGTCCTCTATCAACTGTACAGACAAAAAACTATTCCAAAACAAAACAATTTTGCTACTAATATTAACAAGGAAACCAGTCATGTTAAGTCTCATAGTAATCAAAGAGAGTCTATCATCCCAAATCATGGGTTCAACCACAACCACCATACCTAATTTATGTAACTTGCAGAGTTTTTTTAAACAAGTAATAGAGGGATCATTCACAATCCCTTGGATATTTTAGAAAATACCATTCATTGAGAACAACTAGAAGTAGGCTTACCTTGGCATGTCTGCGATCTAATTACTGGCATGTTCTCACTCTGCACATATTTCTTTCTAGGCCTTTTCTTGCGAACCACCTATGTCCAGTTCGCCTTCACATCTAAACCAGCTCTGTTCTCAGAAAGAGCACAAGGACCTTCCATTCTTTCAGTAATTTTTTCAAGCAACTCAACATCAGATTTGTTGGCATTGTTGTATCCCCACCGATTAAACCTTTCATCCAATTCCAATTTGGAATTTCTCAAATCCTCCAAATTCTAGAGCCTATTTGGCTTCCTAGAAGAGAGTGGACTAGCCGTCTCCAGCAGGTATGGCCGAACAGGCTTCACACCAATATCATCTTTGGAGGCAAAGGATTTTTGTACCCCCTCAGTAGGGATCTCCATCGTCTCAGTAACTGCAAGTCATGGAACCTGCTCACTTCTTGATAAATTTGCTTTACAATCTATTTCCTTTTGGGAGTTGGTGCTTGTTCTACTGGCTTTGAAGATGAAGTAGCATTGGTCTTGGCGACTTCTCTCTCTGCTTTTGATGATCTTTTAATTTTCAGTTTGCAATCCCCTTCGCCATGGCCATGTTTAAAGCAAAAAGTGCAATACTTGGGAATGTTCCCATAATTTATTCTCTGCTAGAAACCCTCTTTGTCGAGCCCAACCCAAACATGACTAGGGTTTTCCTTCAATAGATCCACCTCTACGCAAACCCTAGCCACTGTAATTCTAGTCAAATGAGCAATTGTCGGATCCACCTTCAGAACTCATCCTGCTACCTGCATAATCGAGAGCATGTTGCCTATCATTGTATAGATTGATCAACAGCTTTGGCAAAGATATCCAAAGTGGCACAACCGAAGATTCCCACCCTAACTCCAAACTTGGTGTCCATTTCAAGAATCTGAGCAGGTAGTCCTTGACAAAAACCACCTCTCACAACCAAACCATAAGGTATTCCTCTTCACTTTCAAATATTAGAAGCACGTGTCTAGGATCTAGGGCAGTGACGACAAGAGCTCCTTGAAGCCTAAACCTACCTACCAAAAATTCCCTGATTTCTGCCAGAGAAGGACAACCATAAAAACATTTTCCAACCAATGCGAATTGAAGAGGGGAGAGAGATTTCTCGATGTCTTCATCGGAGAACAGAACAATAGGTTCTCCCCATTTGATTGAAGGAACCTTCAATAGAATATCCACTGCCAGTGGATCAAGAACAATAGGAAAAGGATTCGCAGATGAAGCACCCACCGAAGCAAATGAATGAGCACCTCAAGAATCCCCATGCGGCTCCCCCATTTCAATAAAAATAACTAGCAAATTAAGAAGAAACAATCAAAGATATATGAAATATAATAGTGCTAGTTACACTTTGATTTCCCTCTTATAGTGGCCATATATGCTTTAACTGCTACCACTACAAGAAAAACGATCAAAGCTGGCGGACCAGAGCCGTCTACCATCTAAGTGGGTGCCGCCTTAGGTCAGGACCACCGGCTTAGATAAGAAAGACCGCCACCTTTGGTGGCCGGTCCGAAAACGGTTTGAGTATATCTAAAGCAGCGGTTTATCAAGACCGCCGACTTAGATATGTTAAAAGCGGCGGTCTGGACCACCGCCTTAGACTTCGCCACTCAAGCCCATGCCCCTCTTAGACAGCGTTCAGAATCACCGCCTTAGATTTTTATGACCGCCGCCTTTGAGTCCGTCGAACATTCTTCCCACATTTTAGGCGACTGTCAAAACCGCCACCTTAGATCTTTATGACCGCCGGCTTAGATCCTATTTTTCTTTTTTTATATACCTTTTGTACGTGCAATTTTATTGATTTATTACTTTAATACTTGCTTAATGCAAATTCCATAACAATTATACATAAAACTTAAACATGTAGAAAAATGCAATTTAAAACAAAATTTATTAATTTCACAATTGATTATTATAATATCCAAAATAAATTGTTCAAATATAACGCCCAATTGTTCAAATAGAAAAGATTAAAAATAAAATAAAATTCTCAACAATATAATGCCCATTTTCCATGTAATCATCGAAGAGGAGGTTTCCATGTAGGAAGTGATTATACGGCTTGCAAGCTCAAACTCTCTTAAGTTGTGTTGATATTGAGTGTTAAGGCGCTTAATGGGTGTGAATAGCCATGTCCATGTGCAGTAAGACAAGTGTTGGAGGACCTGAAATGAAAGGGAACAAAATCAAATAAGCATTTGAAGGGGGGGGGGGTGTTAAAACTAAGAAGAACACAAGTGTTGATATCTTTGAAGTAGACCTGAATGCAGAATGCTAATCCCAATATATTGTTGGCTAGCCAATGCTTCTCTTTAGCTTACCGCTTGAAGAATCTCAACAACACGTGGCTCCTTCAGTCTCCAAGGAAGATCTTTTGCAAGGGCCTGCATACAGACAGGCAACGTTATGACAAACAAAAGGAGCTGAATTCCTGCTAATCAGGTTTCTAGAATGCGAAAGAAAACATGCCTGTCTCATTTCTTCAAGATAATAGAACCATTCTTGTCCACATCAATAGCATCGAATTGATCTTTAAGATCAGTAAGCTCCTCTTCATCAAGTGTGCTAGCCAAGGCCTGCAAGATGAAATAAATGCAGACATAAGAATAATTGAGCTCTTTAAATGCAAGTCATGGTGAAGATATTTGGTCCTTGAGACAACGGGCTCCAAGTTTCCAACCAAGAAAATCACTTCTTACCCTTAGTGCAAACTGCTTCAACCGACTGTACTTCACAAATTGCCGCATATTAGATAGCACTGATATATCCACAGGGATCTCTGAGGCATCTCCCCCTTCTCTGACCCAGGGGTGTGCTGGAAAAAATGGCAACGTCAGGAAGAAGATTACATATAACCCAAGCAAAAAGATGTGAATCATGTGATATATGCAAAGAATGAGTCTCACCATCTGGATACATTTCCTACTTGCTACAAATTACTGAATGCCATAAATTTTAAAGGTTTCTTAAGTCATTTCTATGGGAAATTTATTTTCTCTTTTTTCTTTACTGTTTCTGTGGAGGGGGCAATATCATATATTTCTTTGACACACGACTAGTGATTCATGACTACTATGCATTGCCCTACTGCTCTTAATTCAGAAAATAGTTGCTGAAATCTAATTAGAAAAGGTATCCAAGCCAAACTACAAAACAAATACAAAATTTGAACAATCTAATTAGTCAGTTGCATTCAATGGGGCTACACAAAAGGGAGGATATCCCATCCCCCAAACCTCATAAGCCCCCGACCACGGTGAAGGTGGCAAGATTCTAAGTCTCTGCTACAACCAACCAGGGACCTTATAAACTGAGTCAGTTGGAACCCCACCCTCCACGCATGTGGGTACAAACCATAGCCCATATGATTTATTTTCTTCTTTCAAATTGTTTGAGTTCACATTTTAAACCCAACATTTTCCTTTCACATATTTATCCTTCAAACTTCACTTACTTAAAGGTTATCTCATAGTCATCAAAGTCTGTGATGCCTGGATATGTTTGGACACAAGTGGACAAGATATCAGGCTTGAAAATTGGACTAAGATTGAAGTTCTTGTCATGGCATGACAATCATGTATAGGTCTTTGAATAACTATGATTGTGTTTGGATTGAGGTGTAGAAGTCAAATAGTGGAATGGATTCCATGGTTCTACGAATAATGTACAGACATCTACCTCCAATTCATTCTATTATATAAAGAACTGACAAAAAATGCAGCACAACATCCACTACTTCACACATTCTGCTTCCCCTTTTCAGATCTGAACAGCAGAACATGAAAGGTATTGGATTCAAGAATCCTTTTCTGTCCTCAATTTCCATTTCCATTATAATTTAAAGACAGACTTGGTGGAAAAAATTCATATTTCACTTTTTATTAACAACGGTAATCAATTAGCCCACCACAGAAATAAATGCAATGGAAATATGTGTACTTGGTAAAGTCTAACAAAGAATGCCATAGAACTGTTTTAAATCTTCAGTACTGTAGGATAATAAATTAATTATACAATATGTCCATCAGSATGTRYAATAAACAKGCATGAAATCCTCATAATTACCTGGTAAAAGAAAGGGCTCTGCCTTTTAACAGCTGAAATCAAATCATATTTTGTGCATCTAAGAGCCTCTAAAAACTTTTCATCAATATTTTTTGATAAAGAGATGCCCAAGTCAAGCTTGTATGGCTCTTCAGGATACAGTCTGTTCCAATTTTCTTCAATTCTTTTTTGTGGAAGCACCTTGAATGGTTGATACAACATTACGATTGTCAAGGATCCTCCCATAAAATTCCTTACAATCTGCTTTGTACTGGACCTGAGTAACAAAACCAATGAAGCCAGATTTGAAAATTTTATTATACACAAATTTTAAAAGGAAAAAAAAGGAAAAATTATCTTGCAAAGATATACCGGGTTGAGCCTATGACAGTGCCAGATCCATTCACAATCAAGAGGCACAACCAAAGGGCCTTCTGAAATCCAAGACTCATATTGTTTTGCAAGCAAGGGAAGCCAGCAAGCCTTGTACCTGAAATTTTACATATCAGAATTCAGTCATAGGGGTCAAACATGCAATTGCAGTATTCACATAATCTATCTTCCTAGAATGAAGTCAAAATAGTAATCAACAGTGGAGATTGAGAATAACCAATATTTATATTGAAGGTTCAACAGTTGAGGTCTGCATCTATTGAAGAACTTTCTTCCTTTTCTTTCACATTTGTAGGCAGGGTGCAATTACAGGGTTTCATGAATGGTACTGCCCAAGTCCAACTATGTAACAGGGATAAAACCTTATCTGCTTCTCTAATCAACAAATAGCTGGTAATTACTGTCATCATCATCATTATAAATTGCTTAAGACACATTTTAAGGCCCAATTGATATTCCTTATAACATGATTGCATCATCTTCCCATAGTAGATCTTATAAACCAACATTTAACTTATATAGTTTTCTTTAAGCAGGGATCATTGCTTAATGTGAGGGTAAAATCTCAGGCTAACAACCCTGAAAACAGAGCTCCAATCTATGACCAGCCATGTACTAGCTAAAAATGCTGGAAGTTAGGTCTGTACCCAAGCCTTTCCTCTGAAGTCCTTAAATATAGCTGGGACCAGCATTGGGCAATGGCCTTTTCCACTTGTCCCTAACACTTTAAAATAGGACACATACAAACTGCGTATCTCCAAAGGTCAAAGGTGGTTGTCACCAACTAGGAATGGCAACAGGACGGGAACCATACTCCATGTCCCCCGACCCCAATCCCTGTTGGGGATAAAAATGACCCTCCATCCCCAATCCCCTTGGGGTGGGGCAGTGAATTCACTCCTCATACCCAGTCGGGTATCACTATCAATCCCCGTCCCCGCCAAGGCAATCTCCATATCTGATCCCATTGAGTTGGGAAGCCGGGTATCCAACGGGGACAGGAAAATTCCCATCCCTATTACCAACACCTAACAATTTGAAAACATCACAAAGAAAAGAAAAAGGAAATTAAGTCCATGATGTACCAAGATACATGCCAAATGAAAACCATGAATCAAAAAGTATTGATGAAACAACTTGTTAATCTACATACCTGTAAATAGCATAGTACATAACAGGACCATCATGGAGACATCGATGACAGATACAGAATATCACTTTCCTGGGATATGAATTCAGATAAGTGGAAATTGTTTTCTACGATCCAGTAAGATTTAAAAAAAAAAGGAAAAGAAATGAAATGAAAACATCAATCGACATTTGCAATATGCTAACCATGGATTCTTTTGATCTTTCTTAATAATTATGTACCTCAAAACAAGGATAGTTTATTCTATGATCACACAAATATCAATACCATTTATTATCATCATTTCCTTCCGACCGATCTGATTAAGATGGGAATATGGGATAACAATAGCAAAAGAAAAAAGAAGTTATTCTAATTCAATAAGAATTAGATCTTGCTCACAATCTACAAATTGCAAAGATGGCATTAGATATTATTATTCAAAATTCGGATGGAATAACAGTGACATAAGAGAAAATCAAGTCAATCAACAATGCAACATCCAACTAACACCAAGGATTTACATAATTAAACCGGGAACAAAACATCGATAATAGGTAAACAGAACCTCAAAAAAAATACTGGCATAGTTATTTGGACATAATTGAACAAAGAATGGGAGTATGAACCAAACTACGTAGACCATTTAAACAAGCAGATGAGTAGATGCAAGGGGTTAAAATCTGAGGAACTGGAAACACCAAAGTCAACGAGAAGCTACAGTTGGTGCTTTAACGTTCAATTTCTATGAATTATTTACAATAACACTTTGGGGAAAATAACAGGAGAAAACGGTTATTTGATTCAAATTGAAGAGCCGACGATGTAATAGGATTATCAAGAAATAATCAAACGCCTATATAAGAATTTCATTGAAAAAGAGGAGATATCAAAGAATTCTACGGAAAGAGCCAAAGACTCACTGTGAATGCTTTGCCGTCGGCCAAGGCTAGGAACTCCTGTCTATGATCAGTTCATAGCTTCGGCCACTCTATTTATTTGCCTCTCGCTAGTGGCTTCTTCTGGTGGGACTTGGGAGTTGGGAATGGACTGTACTGCATCTGCATTCGGCATGGAGCATGCTGGTAGCCTAGTACTACTAATAATAATACAGTACTGTTTCTCCTCAACCACTGATGTTCTCCCCAACCATTGATGTTCCCCTCAAACTCTGAATTTGAATCCAAACCCTTCTTCACAAACGTGCAGATGTTCTCCTCAACATCCTGAGCGGAGATTTTGAAACGAGCAGAAACCCTTGGCTCTTTCACTCAACCGTGCGGCTCCCTCTTAGCTCCTTCACTCTCTTTTGAAACGAGTAGAAACCCTTGGCTTGGAGAAGATGTGAAGAGTCAATCGCTTGATCGTAAACCTTTCTGCAATTTATTTTGCTCGTGAACCTTTCTCTCTTCTTCAAAATTCCTCTTCCTCTGCAAGATTCTCTGCTGGAAAGACTTCTGCCTTGTCAATAGGAGCCTTCGCGCGGGAGAAAGAAATTTTTGCCTCCCCGCATTTGGTTTATGGAACCGGAATTTAGACCGGTTTAATTATAAAATCCACCAAAGCCAAAGGTATTTATATAGACCGCTGCATCAGCCTTTAAAACCAATGTAGGCGGCGGTCTTTAAGAGTCGACCACCTCAAACATCTCTATAGCGGCGGTCACAAGGACCACCGGGTTAGGTCATTTTTCTTGTAATGTACTTTATAAAGATTTACCAAGAGGGGTTCGAGATATTAGCTAAGTTTATTGGAGAGGACATATAAACCACAATTAGATCATTTATTTCATATACAAATTAACTCATAAAAAATTATAATAGTATTGATTATTTTGTACTTACCCTCTTCTAAATGGCAATTTTCCAACAAAGGGCCCTATTTGCCAACTTGGTATTACTCTACCTAGTTTGGATTAAAAGGCTAATTTGAAATGACTTATGCCCCTAAACTATAAATTTCTATAAATCATGAATAATATATCTTTCATTCATTACCAAACAATATTAAACTTTTGTTATACCTACTGTATGCCCCCAAGTTCCAAATTAGTTCTCTTATCCTATTTTAGTAAATGTTTATGGTTAATACTTCTTTATATTTTATATTTCTGAATGGCCATTATGTAGAGCATGATGACATAATAATAAACCCTTTTGATTGATTTTTCATAAGATTAATTGGTGATGAATCATCCTATTCAAATGATGTCTGCCATGTCCTCCCCAATAAAATTAACTAACACCTTTGGTCCATCTTGATAACATTTTACTAGGTTTACAATTAGGGCATGCAATGCCCTTATGGGATGATAGCTAAAAAAATAGCTAATACTCCTATGCCTAATATACATTTCATTCATTATCGAACAATATTACACATTTATGATGGATGTACTTGATTTTAAAATTAACATCATAACCTCATCTTGGTAAATTCTTACTAAGTTGGATAATATGACTCTGTTTTGTCAAATGACTATTAAAGAGAATAAATGATAGTATTATGTCACTATCTTTAAATTAATTGACATGCTATCCATATGAATATAGCCATATCCTCCCCATTGAACTTCACCCACACCTTAGACCTATCTTGGTATAATTTTATCAATTTGGTAAAACATTATTAGGTTGGGATTTAGGGACTTATTTGAAGTGCAAGGGCACATGGTAACCATTACAAGTGTTTAATTTTTTAAATAATGAATTAAAGATATATTAAATATAATACGACTAGTTGCACTTTGATTTTCTTCCCATAATGGCCATATATGCCTGAATTGCTATCTTTGTAAAGATTTACCAAATTGGATTTGAGGTGCTGATTAAGTTTATTGGGAAGGACATACCATCCACAATTAGATCATCTATTTCATATATGAATTAACCCATAAACAATGATATAATAGTGTCGATTATTCTATACTTACCCTCTCCTAAATGGCCATTTGCCAACAAAAGGCCTTATTTTCCAACTTGGTAAAACTTTACCTAGCTAGAATTAAAGGGGCTTATTTGGAGTGGAATGACACATGAAAACTACTATAAATATTTATTTATTTTTAATAATGAATCAAAGATATATGCCTTATTTGGAGTACAAGGACACTTTAACATCCCTCTCATAATGATCATATATGCCTTAATTACTATCTTTATAAACATTTACGAAGATGGGTTTGAGCTTTGAGGTGTTGGGTAAGCTTATTGCAAAGGACATATCATTGACAATTGAATCATCTATTTTATATTCAATTTAACCCATAAAAATGACATAATAGTGTCAATTGAATCATCTATTTTATATTCTAAATGGTCATTTGCCTACAAAGGGCCCTAATTTTCAACTTGGTAAAACTTTACTTAGTTGGGAATAAAGGGCTAATATATCCTAATGAAGGCATTGAGAGATTGTTATTACATCGTTTTGAGTAATTTTTTACTTGATTATCTCTACAAATCATGTATAGTATATCTTTTATTCATTACCAAACAATATTTTATGATAGCTATCATTTTATCAGCCATCAAGTTTCAAATTAGTTCCCTTATCCTATCTTGGTAAATGTTTATCACATTGGTTAATACCATTTTATATTACTAAATAACCATTATAGAAAGCATGATGACATAATAATAGACTCTTGTAATTAAGTTTTCATAAGATTAATTGGCAACGAATCATGTTATTAGTTATCTAAATGACATTTGTCATGTCGTTCCTAATGAAATTAACCAACACCTCATATTCAATGGATTTAGGCAACACCCCAAACCCATCTTGATAATATTTTACCAAACTAGCATTTAGGGCATTTAATGCCACTACAGGAGGATAACTAAAATATAACATCGTACCTAGAATATCTTTCTTTCATTAACAAAATATTACATATTTGTAATTGTTTTCGTGTATCTTCAAATTTAAAGTTAACCTATTAATTCCATCTTAGTAAATTTTCACTAAGTTGATTGATATGCCTTGTGCTGACAAATGGCCATTAAGGAGAGATGAACACATAATAATCAGCACTGTTATATAACTATCTTTAAGTTAGTTGCTATAAAACACCACCATACCTAGTATATCTTTCTTTCAATAAAAAATAATATTACATTTTTATGATGGTTTTTCTTGTATTTTAAAATTTAAAATTGACTTATTAATTCTATCTTGGGAAAGTTTTATCCAATTGATTGATATGACCCCATATTACAAAATGACCATTAAGGAGAGGTGAGAAAACAATAATCAACACTTTTATATCATTGCCCTTGAGTTAATTTTCATGAAACATACTATCCAAGTGATGGTGGTCATGTCATCCCCAATGAATTTAACCAACATATCTCAAACCCATCTTAATAAATTTTTATTAGGATGACACTTAGTTATATCTTATACCCATCTTAATAAATTTTTATCAAGATGACATTTAGTTATATATGGTCATTATGAGAGTGCAATCAAAGTGTAAGTAACACATTATTAAACAAAATAAAATTTTTGTTATGACTGTCACATGTCATTGCACTTCTAATTAACCTCTTAATTCCAATGTAGTAAAGTTTTATCAAGTTGGAAAATATAACCCCTTATTGCCTAATGGAAAATAAGAAGGTGAACACAAAATAACTAGCATTATTTTAACATTGTTGATGAGAACAATTTTATGCTATATGATATCTAAATGAGAACACCATGTCCTCAATCTTTAAATGGAAATGATATATTTTTGTAAGTGAACTTAGCTATAGATTCATTTGTGTAAATTATTACCAAGTTAAAAGTTAGTCATCAAAGACCAGTATGGAAAAGTAATGATATAATTTTCATTACCATTATGTTATATACATCAAATTTGAATTTTTCAATAAGGAAACCAAAATGAGGGTACCCTTATCCTCCTATAGTGGCAATGCATTCCCTAACTGCTAATTTGATAAGATTTTACCAAACTGGGTTTGGGGTGTTGGCTAAATTTATTTGAGTGAATATGACCATCTTCATTTTAATAGTATATTTCACGTAATTAACTAAAGGATAATGGCATAATAATGTTGATTATTGTGTATATACCATTTCCTTGAAGGACCATATGTGCCAACTTTATAAATATTTATCAGGATGGGATTAATGAGTTACTTTCAAATTTAAGATCATGAAAAAACCATCACAAACGTGTAATATTGTTTGGTAATAAATGAAACAACAATTAATATATGAAAACTATCATTCAAAACCATGGTTACATTTTTTTGTTACCTCCTATAATGGCATTCTTGCCTCGAACAAGGTAGAATATCTCAAAATTAGAGCAATTAAGTCCAATTTTATTTTTTATTTTTGTGAAAAATCATAGTGAAAAGTATGAAGAAAAAATATATTGAAAGAAATGTGTCTAAGTTTCATAAGAAAACTATAAAGTTCCAAATGATGAAATCTTAGTGTACAACACAAATATAATAACATTAAAGACAAACTATAAAGTTTTAGATTAATAAATTTAAATATAATTAGGATTATTACAAAAAGGGATATAGTATTGTGATAAACTGTTTGAATCTATCTATGTTAACCATTACCAAGTTGAGATGTTTACATTAAACATCAATTCTTTAATCCCCTCATAAATAAGTACATACATGTCAAAAAATAACCCACATTTAAAAACAATTGGTGCAGATTTTGTCCAAAGTATTTGAGTCTTTTTTTTTAATACAACTTGCAAAATATTACACCCCTGCATAACAGAAAATACATTTATTATTTAAAGAATTCATAAGTGTAAGACATTGAAACTATAAAAAATACAAGACAATTAATTGTACTTGTGTTTATCATATTTGTGAATGCATCCAACTAATCAATTAAAGCTTGATAGAAGTCTTGTTCAATGCATTGAAGAAAACTTCCATAGCTGATAAAAAATGTACGGTTATAGTCCCTGTGAATGAGCACAATTTTATGAAGAAAAAATTCCCTAAACCAACAGTCACACTGTATCATTGGTTCAATTACAAACTATACCAAGTCTATCCCTCTTCAGACCCCTAGATAATTGGGACTAAGATTATGTAATGGTCTTTTTGATGTCCAAGTGGTTGTCATGGGACAATTTAACCAATTAATTATCGAAAATATCTTACATTGTTTTTCAATGCATGCATATGCACCAGAAATAAAATCTCAAGTTTGCCAAATATCAAATTGAATTAGCTTTCTACTACAGGACAAAGGTAGAATTAAAGCACAAGAGGTATATTCTAAGCAAGTCAGGGGCAATTGCATCTAAACTAAACCAAAGTATAATGTTGATCCTCTACAGGCTGAAGAAGCACAAAGTTAAAAAGCATTTTTGGGTTTTTAAAATTTCTTTAGAATTTTGGATCACCTAAATAGTATTTTCTTAAGGAAATCTTTTCCCATTTAGCTTAGAAACTTTATTAGATCAAAACTAGTTTTGATGCTTCAAGGTCTGAAGTTGGCTCACTTTGTGTGTTATCTTACCCATATTTAGCTAGAGGAATGACTGAGAGAGAACTTTGTTTCGGAGGTGGGAGGCCTGGTGCCCAACATTGGCTAAGAGAGAATTTTCTCTCTTCCTATCATTGGATGATTTGGCCCAAATCATACAATCTGGTGTATCTATTCTAGTTTATCTCTATCACATGTTTTGTGGTGGTAGGAAAATTGTTTGCTGAAAATAAATGAATTAGCAGCCATTATTATGCTAGAATCTTTAAATTGCCTTGCTTGTGAGCTCTGGAAGATCAATTAGGTGTCTTAATGCAATGTTGTAGTATTTCTTTCAAAGTGATAACTTGAAGGAGAATGTTGGAGTATTCAAACTATAATTCCTATGAATTGTTAGTTATTTTAAAATGAGAACGAGAATAAGAAAGAAGAGAAGGTTTCTTGTATGGAAGTGAGGAAAAGGGGAGCTGGGCCATTTGATTCCCTAATTCCATCACGTGATAGAAAGTTGTATCCATAATTATGTGCTTCTGTCCTACAAGCCCAACATTATAATTTTGGTTAGTAAAACAAGGGAAATTTTGAAGTGATTGAATAACATGAGATTTGTTATTTTGATTACTTAAATCCAAGATAAATTGCTAATTTAGCTGATTCATATAGAGATGTGTCAGACAAAAAATTTGCCAAATCCACATTGAACCGACTTGGGGACACTCCACATCTCATGAGTTGTGACTTGAACCTTGAAGAGGGGTTAACAATGTTTTAATCTCCTTCAACCTTAACCAATAAATTATACTTTTTAAATTTGTCTTTACCACTCAAAAAAGATCTTGGTATTGTAAAAAGTCTACATTTGATGGGGGGAAATAAATGATCATGCATATATGCAGCACAATTAAGTTTTGATTCTTTCCATAAACCTCCCTGATGAAAAATAATCATGCATATATGCAGCACAACTAATTTACATCCTTCAATACTCAATTCTTCTCCAAAACTTAATTCATAAACTTGTGTGGGTACACCACATTCCTATCCAAAAACTACAAAGTCTCTTCCCCTCATTGCCCTATCCCCAGTATGTAAAAACCCTTGTGTAAATTAATTGAAATTGTGTTTAGATAACCAACTACAAAACAATGACAACTATGATATTAGATAATCAATATGTAAAAACCCTTGTTCTTGTTGCCATCACCATTGCTGCCCAGATAATGAAGATATTTCAAAATACTATAGGTTGGAAGTCTATTTATTACTAACATTTTAAATGCATTTACTTCTTTAACTTAATAGGATTCATTTAGTCGCAATAAATTGTTATGCAAACAACAAACTGCCTTTTAGATGGCATTATTAGTTTTAAGTTTGAGAAGAAAAACACAAAACCTGGAAAGAAGATTGATGAGGGGTGATTTGGTCCGACCTAATACATGTGGACATGACTTGCCAAATAGACTGCGACTCAACACTCACAGCCATCTCAGCACCACATACCACCTCGGTAGGCCAAGCCACCTCGGGTGTATCGGATACCTCGGCAATGACTGAGGCCCGGGTAGCTTGGGATTGCCTAACTTACCGAGGTGACGCGTTAGGCTTTTAGAAGCATGCCAGCTGTCTCCGAGCTCTTCAGGATCATGGCACATGACTGGGGGATTTATCCTTATCCCGCCCGGATCGGACGGATACAATAGGCCTTATTGGCTAGTACATTATCCACCTCCTAGGGCGGAACAGACTCCTAACGACGCGGGGTGAGGATCTCGGAAGTGTTTCGTGAGATCCACGACAACCCAACTATATAAGGGCATCGGCCCATAAGACCCAAGTACGCACGATTACTAGTTTATTAGCTCTCATATTCACAAGCTTTCAGCTCACAACATACTAACTTAAGCATCGAAGTGACCACGCCGGGTTAGCCACTCCGGGTTCTCTGAGCTTTCCTCTTCTTACAGTTTGACTCGCCAACTAAGCAACTAATGTCCGAATTGCCATCCAGTTAGAAACCATCCAAAATAAACCTAAAACCTATACGGGCTACAAGTCTACAAGCTGTTAACATCTAGTATAATTTTCATTCAAAATAAAGGAACAAAATGAAAAAACAACAAAGGAATGCGAAGGAGAAAGCAAGAGAACGCATGTTTGTAACCTCCTTGGAAAACTAAAGTTGACTTTCAGTGTTCCCTCAGTGTTTAGACTAACAGAGGAGCATTCACCGAAAAAGATAGCGCATAAGTGGTGGTAGAGAATCAATGACAAAGAGAAGAGAGAAGACTCTACCTGATATTCGTAGGCAGCATAAATGTCTTTGAAGATGATAGTTATTATGCAGTAAAAAATGGTTTTGGACCATTTATCCTCAACGTACAGGAACGTAGGAGAGAGAAGGAAAGAAGAGAGGAAGAGAAGGAGAAAGGGCAGGAAAGATCAATGGACCCTTTTTTTTTCTTTAAGTAAGGTCATTTTGGTCTTTACATGTTTAAGGGTAAGTCTAGGATAAAAAAATTATATAAAAAGTTGACATGGACTCATCATGAGAGGAATCTGTCCCAACTTTTAAAAAATTGTGTTTATACGTATTTTTCGATTCTGCAATGGCTGGGCTGGAATTCAGAAATCTGAATTAGACCTAGTCATAGTTTTCCCTATCTACTTTATGTATTAGATGTTAAATTTAATAATATTTTAAATCTTATGTAAAATGATAATTGATAGGTTATGTTTTTTACCTATCTTAATTAAATTATTAAAAATTTTGTTATTTATTTATATTATTTTACTTATTTATTGTTTATATATAACAAAAAATAATAGGAAATTAGATTGAACTCAACCCGCCCTTACCCTTGAATGTCGAGAAAGTAGGATTGGTGAGGGTTTGACATTTTCATGTGCAAGAAGGGTTTAGATTCTCAAAATCCAACCCACTACGGGTTTTAGGGCGAATACGAGTTGGGAGGAAGGTAGGGTCTAGAATTTACAAAAGCCTCCTCAAGCCCACCCCATTTCCATCCCTATACACAATGTTTTCAAAACCAGACCAGATCGGAAAAACCAAGAACCGGTCTCCATTTTACCCAAAACCATTGATTTGGTCAGCGAACTGCTGACCTAGGCGGTCAAACTGTCAAACCGTTCGACCTGGGAACAATTTTTGGCCATTTTTCTGGGTTTTAAAATTTTTTGTCAGTGGAATGTTCGTTCGGACCAGACAATTGTTCAACCTGGAAACCGGACCCCAAAATGGTTCCCTATCCAGACTGATTTTAAAAACCTTGCCTATACATATCTAATATATGTATTAATTTTTATTTATAAAAAAATTAAAAATTGGGATTTGAAATAAAAAAGGTTTTTCTAAATAAAAAGTGGGACAAAACACCTAAATCTCAAAAAAGTTACCCAAAATCAACATTAAGATTACCCCAATTGAACAAACGAGCACAAAGTTACGAATTCTGATATATAGGTAATGTGTAACCCGACTCAGTGGTTGGGTTGAAAGGAGCACTGGTTTAACCACCTTGGTCGGATGATTTTTGACTAAATCAACAGTTTATAAAAAAAAAAATGAATTTTAAAAGAACCAGACCCAAAATTATAACAGTTTGACTCTCGAGGTCAATGGCAGGTTGAAAACACCAGTCGAATCAACTACTACAAATGCTTCTGTAGTCTGTACAAACTCTAACACTCATTCGCAGTTGCAGGGGATGTCTGCATTCTGCCCCTAACGCCCTAAGGCTCAGTTTGGAAGGAGTACAAATACAAATATGTAGAGTGTATTTGTATTTGTACTCTTTCCAAACTAGCCTTAGAAAACTTTGTTAATAAGCTTGTAATTTCGTTACGCAAAGTCGCAAATGCGGTACAAGACTTGATATACAACCAGCCAATAAGAAGTACAAGTTTTTGACTAAATATACGCTAATCAATTTACAGGGTTAAAATTACAAATGGACTCACATGGCTACAAAGCTACATGTTGGCAACAATAGAAGAAAGGTCTCCCTCTGGTTCCACATCCACCTCCCTATCAGACCCTTCCAAGTTTGTCTGAAACACAAAAAACCATCGTTATAGTCACAATAATTTCCACGTATAACAATGAGATTAAACAAGCAAATTACTTCTTGAAGCAGTTTAATAGAATCTCTGTCCGGTGATCTCAAATGCTTCTATATCTATTAATGTCGAGGAAAACTTAAACCTGGCTGAATCACCTTCTCTCTTATGCTTTTCAGTCACCAAGGTTTTTAGTGGCCAAGTACAGTAAAGGGTAAAAAAATGAGAATGGGGACCATTATTTTAGCTGGTCTCTAGCTTCCGATCCATCAAATGTGCATTGGGATCTGTTTTTATTGGCATGGGTTTAGATGCTAGGGACTGGCCAAAAACAATGGCCCAGCATCAATCAGTATATAATGCATGGGAAATCCCAAGTGCTCCACCAAAATGTTACTAGATTTAGAAGAATGAGATCTAACTAGTCTATTTTACTCACACAAGGAAAGAATGCAACTTTTGTTCAGCGATTTCCGTTTTAAATTATGAGGTACGGGTACCAGAAATTCCTATGCATATAACCATCATGATATTTCTCAGATTGACATCACTGGTCAATTCAGTCTCTTCACAGTCCGAGAAGATCGGCTGGCCTCTCTTTTGCTGGTTAAAGTTCAAAGTTTGTAGAATGTAAATAGAAAAACAACCAACAATTAACATATACCTGTCGATCACTTGATTTATGCTGTGAAAGGTAATGATCCAATGCACCATCACCATAAAGAATTTTAGCACTGCAATGATGTCCTGCAGCTACAATGACTTCCTCATCGACCACAACAGCATCTATTTTATCATTTCCTGTTCTTGTGTCTGGAATATATAAATAACCCAACAAGTAAATTTAATTACCTTCTTATTAAATTATTGAATGAGACCTTAAACTGAAATATAGACAGATGCAGGCAGAAGGGAAATCATCAAAAAACAAAAACCTGCAGTTCAACCAAAGGGGGGAAATGTACTTCACACAGATAGATTCTCTCTCCCCCAAAATGGAAGGCCAGCTCATTCAAAATCGACCATTTGACTCTCTTCAAGTTCTTCGATAATGGATATCCAATTCATTAGAAAGAAACCTGTATCTACCCAAATCCTCACAAATCCTGCTTCACCGGCATTCTTCACAAATGCCCAACAGATGGTGGTATTAATACTATAATAAAAAAATACTATTAAGGGGCAAACTGGAGCACAAGAGCTCCTTGCCATTGTGAAAAATCCCCGGGAAAAAGAACATAAAGGGGTAATAAACCCAAGAATAATGCAGTCCTACACAGGAAGATTGATGGAAACAGAAGAAACTTGATAATTTGCATGATGTAGTTGGAAAATCTAAGTTCATTCCGGATGGATTTAACTTGGACAGATGTAAACACTACAGGCACAATGATGCAGCTTAACAAAATAAAGGTTAGGAATCCATCAGAAAATGAGTGTAGCAGAAATGAGAATGCCAAGATGGATGAGTGGAAAAACTAGAAAGGATAGGGTATATGTTTGGTTCCATGACAGTTTCTTGAGGGGGCGTTTATCTGATAAATGCTGCTTTAAACGTTTTTCGCTTTTATTGTTTGGTTGGACATTTTATGGGCGTTTCAAGAAACACACCATAAAGTTACTTTCCACATCAGCATTAATAAACGTTTCTTGAGCTTTGGCTGTTTGGTGGGGCATTTCAAGAAATGACCACATGAATGATTCAGTGTGGCATATTTTCTTGATACTTGAGTGCCATTGAATCAATCTAATGGTCCAAATTACTCATGCTTGCCTATAATAACTGAATTTGAGAATGGAGAGTCAATTGGCAAGCTGAACACCTGTGACATCCTACAGAAGAAATCCTTGGGAAAAAGATATATTTGCCCCCATGCTTGTTTCATGTGCTTTGAGAATGGAGAGTTGATTGGCCACTAATTAATCAACTGCATCTTTGCCAGAACTCTCTGGTAATTCTTTCTGGATGCAATTCTAGGTGGAAGCTACAGCTGGACTCCTCCAAACTCAGTCACTGATTTTGTTACCCAGTGGACCAATCCAAAGATGGGGAAAAGAGGAAAACTCTTTTGAAAAGCAATAATTCATGCGGTCATGTGGAGGATCTGGGAAGAAAGGAATAGAAGAATCTTTGGAGACAGTTTCTCCTCCTTGGATAGTGTTTGTGAGAAGATCTTATCAAAATTTTTTTCTTGGATGCTGGTCCACCAGCTCTTCCAAGGGGTGAACAGAGAGGAGCTACAAAGAAACTGGCTGCAAATCCTGTTTTCTTCCCTTTCCTCAAGAAGAGACTGTGATTACTTGCTGCAATTTGATGGCACATTTAGAAGGTCGCTGCAGCCTCCATCAGCTGCTGGAATAGGAGGTACTGTGAGAAACACTACAGGAGATATATTGTGGGCCTTTAGTGGCCCAATCCAAGCTGAAATCCGATCTCTTCTAGAAGGTTTAAGGATTGCTAAGAACAATCATTTCAGTCCTTTAGCAGTAGAAGGAGACTCGAGAGTGACTATCAAGTGGGCAAAAGATTCAGATGGGATCCTTGGAAGCTAGCTCACCTCCTTGCAGAAATTCACGAGCTGTCTTCTTTGCTGAACTGCTCCTTTAGATGGATTCCCCGGGAGATCAATAGAACTGCAGATGCCTAAGCAAAGCAAGGGTTGGGAAGGGATTTTTTGTATAGTGCTAACTGCGAACTCTTTACCATCTTTAGTTTGATACAGGTTTTTCTTTTTGTGCTTTTTGGCCTGTTTGTACATCTCTTATGTACATCCCTTCCCCCATTTTTTGAATATAAGTTTTCTTTTTGAAAAAAAAAATCTGAATTTGAGATCCAACGGCAGATCTTCTATGAAAATCAAATCTAACGGTCAGAATCACTCGTATAGGTTCTGAAAGTGTAAAATTGATATCCAACACTATGCAAATTACTTACAACTGAACATTGATCTTGGGTGGGAGCAAATTTTTTTATGATATCTTTGAATTTACAATAAAGTTAAAATTGAATCAGAAATTTTGGATGATGCTTTAGCTAAGGCGGTGGTGGCGGCGACAACATCAATGTCGATAGCGGTGGTGGTGGTAGAGGAGGATTCCTCGTCTCTAAAGTTTGTTTGGGTGTGATAGAAGCAAGACCGAACGTTTTGTTGGCGTTGGGGAAAAGAGCCACAAATGGGGTTTGAGCAAAACAGGGTTTTGCTTGATGGAGCTAAAGAAGATGAGCTATTGGTGCCCATCAGAGTAGTGCCTTCCGAGGTAAAACGGAGCAAAGGAAATGAGAGCAAAAGCTGAGAGCTTTGTTAAAAAAGGAATTTCTCAGGAATTCCGGGATGTTAAAGCCTTTCATGGATTCATGAACCATTCTTCCAAAGAAGAAGAAGAATTAGAGAGTGCTTGTTCAGAAGAAAGTTCTGAATATTTTTCTGATCTCATTATTTGTTCCAGAGACCATAGGGTACTTTTTGCAAAATTGTGCATGCTCTGTGCGGTGGACTGTGGATGAAACGGGAAATTCCAGTAGTGACAACGATAAAGGGGATCTTAAAAGACTTTACGGTCGATGGCGGTCTTACCGGCATCAACAACTACAAGAATAGGAGACGACAGCGGCACAAGTCTTCCTCATACGACAATGGCGCAAGTCTTCCTCATACGAGAGGTTAGGGTTTCTGGGCTAGACATAGGTTTTTTTTCCTGAGTTTTCATGGTCTTTGATGCATCAGGCCACCACATCAGTGTCCATGTTGATGCCACATCAGATCCATGTTTCGGGAAACACCAGGCCATTGGGAGAAAAGAGAATTTGTCACTTCCCCCAACGGCTCCTGTCACAAAAATCAAAGCATTTCCGTTTTTCAGCATTTTTTCAATAAACTGTTGAACCAAACAGTGGTTCAAGCCTCAATAAATGCCCATGCCTAGCTGGCGCAGACGTGCCAGCGCTTTTCCAAGAAGCACCCACGGAACCAAACATGCTCAGGATCAGCAGGAATGAAGCCATCCGTTAAAACCTAGGAGTAGCTCCAATAGTGATAAAATGAGAGAGTAACCAAAGATGGTTTGGTCACATGCATAGAAGACCAACAGCTCCAGTTAGAAGTGATTTGTTACAAGTGGAAGGGGCTAGAAGAGATAGGAGTAGACCAAAAAGGACATGTCTAGAAGTAGTACGAAATGATTTAAACACTGATAATTTAATAGTGGATATGGTTTTAAATAGAACGGATTGGCGAAACAGGATTCATGTACCCGACTCCATATAGTTGGGATAAGGCTTGGATGATGATGATGATGAATACACAATTAAATGCATCTTATTCGTGACCAAGGTGTTTATCAATTGATAATCATACCCCTTCAATGATTGGGAGAAAGAATAGTAAATAGCAAGCAGGAAGTTTATACCAGATAGGTCTACTTTGCCCTAGAAATCTACCACTAAATGCATATTACACCATTTAGACAATAAGAGGTCAAGAATCCACACTCAAGGGATCCCATTTATGGGCAAAAGCTTGATTCGAGTGGTGATCCTAACCCTTTAGACAATGCAAAAATGCATGAAGTGCATTCTCACACAAACTCTGCCATTTGTTTACTGCTGTGCATTTAATGGACCATCCTTACTGTGTAGCAAGGAAAGGATCTCATATTTTCCATCTTGTTTTGATTGACTACATAAAACTGTACCTGCAGGAGTTATCACCTATTGTTAGTATTTAGGAATATATTGTCAATTACTAAGTTGCTATTAAACCCAAGCTTGAAGGATGGTATGCATGTACCAATAACATTCCAAGTAGATGTTGGGAAATCAGATATGACTTGTCATTGTATTTCACACCAACTTTTTAGATCAAGCAGAGAAGGGATGTTATACCTCATACATTGCATCCATCAAAATGTTCTCCAATATGGATCGTAGGCCTCGAGCCCCAGTGTCTTTAAGCATTGCTTTTCTAGCTATTAGTCTCAAAGCCTTTTCTGTGAAATGAAGCTTGACCTGAGTTAAAAAAAATGTTAAATTAATATGGCTGGGGTATTTGTAGAGTTCAGATGGGCTCCCCACAGAACATGCCCCACATTTACATCCCTCCGTGCATTGGGAACATCTCCCATAATTGTCATGGGGACATGTTCCCAATGCACAGAGAGGATGTGCTGTGGGCACACTGCACTCTGTGGGGAGCCCATCCAATCTCATATTTGTAGATCCAGCAAAGTTGCGACTTGTACATCCAAATAAATATCTGATGCAGACCCTTGGTCATAGTCAAAGAAGAAGGAAAGTGTTGTGAAAAGGAAAACTTACACCGTTCATTTGAAACAACTTTCTGTATTGCTTTGCCAGGGCATTCTTTGGCTCTGCGAGGACCTAAATAACAAAATACCCATATATTGTCAGATAGAAGCTGACAGAGAGAATATATGAAATAGACATTGACTCAGGAACCAAAGAGTCAAAAATGGAATTTTTTTGGACTTTATGTCAACTCAACTCAAGTATTGTCCCAACTATATGGGCTTGGTTTTCTGGATTTTATGCATTTCTGTATTTTTAGGCAGTAAGGTTCTTTTGGTCATTTATTTTCCTCAATATGAAATTATAAAGGTCAGAAAACCTATAAATACTGGACAAGTATGCCAGGGACACAAACAAATGGATGCATATGTATACAAAATGATTGTTGCTTTGGCAATTGCAGTTCACCACTTAGCTATTCTTATTATTTCCTTTCTTTTGTCTAAAGTATTTTGAATGAAAGTCACTGCTCCTGTTCCTAAACCAACACATCCCTCCCCCCCCCAAAAGAAAAAACAAAAAAAAAGGAAGAAAACAACAAGCCGACTGTATAAATGATTTGGACCCAGATACATAGATGAGCTTAAAAATTACCTCAATAAGTTGATCTTCAGTTAGAGCTGATAGACTAACAAGGATTTGGAACCTCCCAATAAATTCTGGTATCAAACCATATGCAATAAGATCACCACCCTCTGCCTGCACTGCATAGACATAGAAGATAGAAGTTCATTTTAGAAGCATATCTATTTCAAGTGTTAGGCTACACTTTTAGAAAAGCTAGGAGGCTGCAAGATGGTCTTTCTATTTGAGGTTAACTAACAGTTTCCAACAAGGAGGAGGTCACGAAAGCATTTGTAAGACCACCAGTCTTCATTAGAGGTGGATTCGAGCCGAGCCGAGCCGAATAGTACCAAGCTCGAGCTCGGCTCGACACTGTTCTACAATGCTCGAGCTCGAGCTCGGTTCAAGCCAGAACCTTGAGCTCGAGCTTGACTCGAGCCAAAAATTCATAAGCTTGAGCTCAGCTCGGCTTGAGCTCGATTTTGAGAAAAAATATTTTATAAAAATAAAAAATTATATATAAAAATATTTTTTATTTGATATTTAAAAAATTAAGAATTATAATATTTTTATTATATATTGTTTTCTATAATTTTATTATTTATATATATA